AATATTGAAAACAGTACCAGTAACGACACCTCGCGGAATTAGGTTGAAGCGTGAACCATACGAATAGATTCTTCAAAAAGACCTCTGTGAAAGGTAGACACAGAAAAAAGTTTCCACTCACGCCCGAATGAGGACCCCAGCGGTACGGTGGAATCAAAGGTAGGTTTGAAGAACGGAAATATTGAAACCAGTATCAGAAGCAACACCTCGCTTAATTAGGTACTCTAGGAACACAAAAAACAGCCATATAGACTAACAAACATATTAAATATTGAAAACACTATCAGTAGCGACACCTCGCAGGATTAGGTTGAAGCGTGAACCATATGAATAGATTCTTCAAAAAGACCTCTGTGAAAGGTAGACACAGAAAACAGTTTCCACTCACGTCCGAATGAGGACCCCCAGCGGTACGGTGAAATCAAAGGCAGGTTTGAAGAACGGAAAATATTGAAACCAGTATCAGTATAGCAACACCCCGCTTAATTAGGTACTCTAGGAACACAAAAAACGACCATATAGACTAGCAAAACATATTAAATATTGAAAACACAGAATAATCATCAGTTCTACAAACCTTGGAAAACAGTATCAGTAGCGACACCTCGCGGAATTAGGTTGAAGCGTAACACATACGAGTGGATTCTTCAAAAAGACCTCTGTAATAGGAGAAGGTAAGCATAGCAAACAGTTTCCACTCACATCCGAGTGAGGGCACTAGCAGTACCGTAAAATCAAATCTATGTAGAACATAGAAATATTTACTGAAACTCATTCATAAGCCTAATATATTTATTTAAATTGCTCATATTATTGGCCCAATGAAGCAAAATGAACCCCCAAATATCCATATACCCATCCATATGTCGAATATCCATACTCATGGCCCTCCAAAAAATATCTCTCGAAAACAGGGGGACAAGTTGAGTCGTACCCACACTTGCACGTTGATAAATTGGACCCCCCATAGCCACTTGGTAACGTGTCGGCTTGCCAACCCAGAGATCCAAAGTTCAAATCCTATACGGTATGATTATCTTTTTTTAATTAAATAAAATTATTAAGTGAACTGAACGTTATACGTCATAATGAATGTAATAGGTTTCCATTAGGTGGGCCAACTGCCAAATTTCCGTAGAAACCCTCTTGTTTAACTACTTAAGAGTTCGGACACAGAAATGACAACTGTTAGTGTTTTTGAATATTTATTTTCATTAAGTTACACACCTTGCAACTGCATCATAGTCGTTCTGCTCTTTTTTACTGAAAATTGTTTGAATTTGACCATAAATTTTATGGACGCCAGAATTGAAATATAATTTCATAAACTATTGACAAAAAAGCATGAATGAAAATGCCCTGCTGTGTAATGAATCGCGGGAATTCTGAAGGCAATGGCGATTTCATTATTTTAATTTTTCAAAGGAAATAATAATATCAACCATTTCCTTATGGAATGTATATGAAACGACCTGGATAGGAAATAAATATGATGATAAGCAAAATTTGTGAGGTGAGCACACATTAAAATTCACTTCTTATAACAGCAGATTGAAATTAAAATATATTTCTGGCCCATTTTCAAACACAAGATTTATAAGATCCGTTTGAGAGAATTTACAGACTATTGCAAAGAATATTCCAATATTATCATCACACGAAATGCAAAACAAAATTATGATAGAGAAAGAGGAATTGATTGCAAAACTACATAATGAAATTTAAAATTGGAGAACGAAACTGGGGAAATCCAGTAAATTGCAACGTGATATGATAACATCAAATAGCGTTTTAAATACCGACCAAAATCAACATTTATCAGTGAAAAGGAAATGCAGCAAAATGGAGATGTTTTAATTTTCGATCTTATGTTTTAAACTTTATAACTGGGGTACCGTTTTACATACAATAAGGAACTAGCTATAAGTATATTCATGTGTGTCCATTTTGTCATGTTAAAATGTTGTTACATGATTTTTTTCTATTTTTATATCTATTGTTCTGCGAAAAGTGTATCACTATATAAATTGAAGTGGGTATTTATACCCTACTTCTATTTTCCATCTACGACAATGATTGATTTGATAGAAAATCCAACCTCTAAAATCGTATCTGACAATCAGGCGCTACTAGGGAAATTGAAAAGACAAAGAGCAGAATATGTTTTCTCCCTTATTCACTCAAACCATTGTAATATAGAAAATAGGAAAGGACAAAAGTTGAGCTGTGTCCGAACTCTTATCTAACTAATACCATCCAGTGACTATACTCTGGAGTAGGGTCCCTTGATGCAAACTGACGTATTTGTCATCTTAACAGGGTACTGACAGATCCTCGTCTCCTCTCACTCTAAAGTGTTTGTGAAACAGTTATATAGTTCCATCCCTATTCAATTCTGGGGATAAACACTAGATTTTTGACATTTGTTGTTTTTTAGGTTATATTAAGGTCATTGGCGTATCATACGTAATTTCCATATGGAATTCCTAATTCAACTATACCGAGATATAGATGAACAATCCTCTAGTTTTAGAGTTACTACTCCAGCATAATCTTTGCGAGGTAGGCAACATATAAATTGTACTGAAAGCTTCATATATTTCACTAAAAGAGACTATTCTTAGAATGAATACCAAGGTTGACTGAATTGACTGAATGAATTCTGATTTCAAGCTGAGCAGTAGTTTATCTATGAGCTGAATGAGCTGAGCCTTATGATTGAGAAATGGTGAAAACCTGGATGTGGGTATCTAAACTACTGTACTCATGTCATGCGTGCTAAATATATTTTCGGAAATCCAACTCGGAGAAGAATTTATGGAGTGACTATGTATGAAACTTCGTCTAGGACGAAAAGTAGGCTGATAAAAAGTAATACGTAAAATGTGCAGGAAAATAAAGAATAAAATACACTCTACCCCCATGTTATAAATATGATTTTTCCGTCTCCTTTGAATGACAATTCATTTCCAAATAATTTATTGATGAAAGTAACAAAGGAGTAGGCATACAGTATAACTTATAGGAACGTGATTTCCACTCTTGCATCTACATATTTTCAATTTGTGGTAGAGTAATAATTATATGAACTAATGTGAAATGTGCAGTTTTGAACAGTGGTTATTTGAATAACATTAGAAGTGAGATCTGGAGCCAATGCAGTTTTCATGATATTTTCATAAAAAACATTATTATACAGAATTCCTACTTGGCTGATTACAATCAATTTCAACTTCAGTGACGCACAATTTGGTTCGAAATTTTTTGCCATATTGTGAGAGATTGCTGCACATACCCTTCAGCGATATTCACAGACTTCCAAGCAAGAATGTCTCCTCCAGAATTTGCAAGTAAACTTGAATTTTCCAAGTTTGACAAAACAATCATTATCTCCAACCCCAGAAACCCCCAGATACCTTCCAATTTTGCATAGAATCGGATCATGAGTACAATACTCGTTCGCCATATGATCTTCCACAACAAGTAAATACCCTGTACATACCTATTATCAAAATTTTGAATGATTTTCTGTAGCGCCCATGGATGTGACGTGACAGGAATGACAGGGATGCCAGTAGACAAAACTAAAGTCTCTAGATCATTAAAAAAGAATGCAGCTATGATCCGTCCGTACCATGTTAAGATGACTTTAATGTCAATTTCCATCAAGGGACCCTAATCTGGAGTAGCTCTGGTGTTACCTTGAGTCCCTGTATGTATTTGACACTTTTGCTGTAATGAGAGTACGGACACTATGACAAGCAGTGATAGAAGGCATAACCCTAAAAAATTTGAAATGACATGAACAATTTGGCGGGCACTGACAGTTCATGAACGTACATGACATTGAATTATTTGATAATTCAGGTTTTCAAAAATTAAAATGTCTAATTGTGTAGTGGAGAATTGCAAAAATGGAAGCGAGTCCTTTCGTTTATTCCATTTCCCCCATTCTAACCAACAACAGTTTCAGAAATGGAAAGAAAATATGAAGCGGCCACTATGGAAATTGAATCAGGTAGCAAGATTTGCGAAGTAAGTACTCAATATTTGAATTTTTCGATTGAATATGATGCATATTCGAAGGAATAATATTATTTATAATTTCAATTTTAACATTATAGGTGCACTTCAAATGTGAAGATTTCATAGTGGAACATACCATCAAATTGAAAGAAAATGCGGAGCCTTCATTCCAGGATTATCGAAGACATTCCTTATCGAATTCAGGACAATTTTTACGAGCAAAAATTCAAGTAGAATACCAAGATGAAATTAAATGTATTTTGGATCACAAACAAGAAATTATCGAAGATTTAGAGAGAAGATATGCCGAAATTCAAAATTTATTAATAGTTAATGATGAAAGATACAGAAAAAAATCAAAGAAATTTTGTATTCTTGTCATAGGATATACTATTCTTGAATTATAATCATTATACTTGTATTTGTCGAATTTTCTGATCGTTCATACCCTATGAAGTGTCTTAGTATGTTATGAGAACAAATATAAGTTTGTTAATTGGTTGAATTGTTCTTCCCATTCATTTACATTTTGCCCATCAGAACTGGCTACTAAATCCTGACTCTCTATCTATTGAAAAACTAGTGCATCCTAAAATCAAATAAATTGAAGTACATATACCCTTTGTTAAGTATATCGAGAAATACTTTCAACAAATTAATTTACAAACTATGACCCCTTTTCGCCAGTGAGATGAGACGCCACTTCTTTATGAAAATAAAGACAGAGAAAGATATATGGATGTACCCTTCACCGCGGCAGTAGAGGATAGAAGATCCGAAGTGCATGGAAAAGCATATCCATGTCTTTGTTCAAAAGTCATTTTGAGAATTTGGGGTTATGCCTTCCGTCACTGCTTGTCATAGTGTCCGTACTCTTATTACAATAAAACTGACAAATATATACAGGGAATTATACATACAGGGACTCTAGTGTTACCCACACAGTCACATAGACTTACGCCTGAACTACTCACCAAGACCTCGGCATCCTTCAGCATCACGTAACCGTCGCAGCCCGCATGCAGGTAGCTCTTGGTCGCGAGCCTGTAATACTGATCGAGCTTGATGTACTCGTCGCCGATCCGGATGAAATTCACGTCGACCCGCTTCCCCGGCGGTTTTCCGGGATGGAAGGCGAAGCTCACGCCGGCCACTTGCGGGAAGCGTCCCTCCAGCTTCGGGTACATCGACACGGAGTTCTCCAGCGTTTCCAGTATCGTCTGACCTGGAAATAAAGCGCAATCCAGTAAAATGTAAGAATGTGTATATCGCTACTTCAAAGTAGGGAACCACCACTAATACTAGTGGTACTGATGGGGGACGTTTGCACGTCAGCAACTAGTCCCTAAAGGGACCTTCTTGCAAGCCCCAAGGTGTTTTCAATGACTGATGTGGTTCGCTTAACACGTTCGCTGCCGAGCTGAAATTTCAAAAAATGACTTCCCGGGCCAAGGTAATTTTCACCAATGAGGTACGTATTTAATTTATACCCACACAAAAGTCCCCACTAAAACCCTCCAGGCCAAAACTTTCAGTTGCTCTTTATGCTGCCAGGCCGCAGAGATCATAAGCTAATGAATTTCTTATTGCCCGTGTATTACAGAGAATACACCGCTGTTCAGACAGAATGATAATCCGTGTATCATTTAGGATACCCCCCCCCCCCCCCCGGTCTGTGGAAAGCACTACCTGGTGTATCATTAATGATACACCAGGCAGCGAACGTGTTAAAAGAGAGCTGGCCAACATCCTTCTCAGGCCCCGCCCATCAGCTCTCTTTCAGAGTTTTTCGGCTGTGTTTTGTAGGCTAGAAATGTACTCACTACCATATGCTGCAGTGGCAGGCCTGCCGTTAGAGACCGAGGTCCACTAAGCAGCTGGCCCGCTCTCACGCTCAGCTGGTAGTTTTCCACACCCACCTACATAAACCGTCCTACTTCTTCTCTGATGCTCACAACCATATCATCATCTCTTTCTGCGTGTTCTGTGTAGGTTTTGTTACTAATTCCATGAACCACTTTAGGAGCAGCACTGTTAATTAGAACGCAACAGCGAATCGTGCAGCACTATCCCCAGCCCCAATTAATGAAAACATCCTGTAACTCATTTGTAGACTTGATTCACTCATTCATATGCTAACATCAGTATGATACTGAAAACTGTCAAACTATAAGCAGCACAACTTCCAAAGAGAAATATTTCACATTTTCATGTTGAGAATGGGAGCAGATTCGGTCCCGAAAAGTCCAAAGATAAGTGATGTTTCGATATTTTTTCAATATCTATATTTCTTTTCTCCAAACATTTTTTCAAACAAATTGTCACTGACAAGCTACTGGATTTTTCTTTTAGGCTCCCTGAAAAATTTGTTAAACGCAGTGACATTTTGGAGCCAATCATTTGATTTGTCCCTACAATTATATTGAAATAATACGAATATTTTTAGTTTATAGAAACGAGGAGGGAAAATCACAAAAAATCAAGTAAAATGAATATACCACCTCCTGGATTAACCTACAGACAGTATTATAATTGCCTCTCGAAAAACAAATGATTTTAGTTTTGTTCTCGTTAATTGAGATATACTTGAGATATATATTTATTTATTTATTTATTTATTTATTTATTTATTTATTTATTTAACAAATAACTTCCAGACTGGTATAAGGAAGTACATAATTATATACCTATAGGTAAACATAGCATCATTCAAAATATATCAACAACTGTAAATTGGCAAACAAAGAATAATATTTGTAAAAAAAAAATAAAAAAAAAATAAAAAAAAATGGCATGATTAATTTTAACCAGTCCGCTCAGAAATAATCAGTTTTTTTACTTCATTTTTGAATATACCTATATTTCTGCAATTTTTTATATTATCAGGTAGTTTATTGAATTCAGTTAAGGCTGAATGAGTGAATCTTTTTTTGTCCGATTAGGGAGCTAGCGGCGTCAAGATGAAACAAGTTATATTGTCTAGTTTCATGATTATGAATTTCAGAATTCCGTATATTCGACTTCAATTTTTTATTTATGATATTATATGATATTTTAAGAGTTTCAATTCTATATATTTCATCTAAAGAATACGTATTTGTTATTTCATACAATTGATTGGTTGGTGTATCAAATGGGAGACGATACAATACTTTTAACGATTTTCTATATAATGTTGATATTTTATTGAAATTATTTTTTGAACAAGATCCCCAAACATTTATTAAATAGTTGATACGACTCAGTATATGAGAGTAGAGAATCATGTTTGCAATTTTAATATCAAGTTTGGACATCTTCTCAATGCACCAATAATTGGAGATATTTTTTTTGTCAGAACATCAATATGTTTGTCCCACTTCAACCTGTCATCAAACCAAATACCAAGATATTTTATCTGGTCAGTTTGTTTCAAGAGTTCATTTTTTATTTTAAGGTTGAGGTAAATTTTTTGTTTATTTTTTTGGTGAAAAATCATATATTCTGTTTTGTTAGTATTTATCGATAAAAGGTTAGATTGGAGCCATTTTTCAAATATTTTCAAGTCTTCATTTATCATATTTTCTAAATCTGAAGGATTCTTGCCTTCATATAAAAGTACTGTATCATCTGCATACATGGTATATTCACACGCTAGACCAATTTCACTGATATTTTGAACATAAAGTAAATATAGTATAGGTCCTAAAACAGAGCCTTGTGGGACACCCTTATTGATTGATAGTTTGTTTGACACAGAGTTCTTTGATTTTGTATTGATTGTCCTATTTTCAAGATATGAATTCAAAATATTTCTCACAGTGCCTCTGAGTCGCATTGTTTCTGAGTTTTCTAAAAGTGTTTTATGATCAACTGTGTCAAAAGCCTTTTTGAGATCAATGAAAACAGCTACCAAATAATTTATTACTTCTAGGATACTTAGGTTCAGTCCGAGGTAATTTTTTGAATCAGCAAGAATTACCAAATCATCCGCATAGAGGAGCATTAAGGGATCATTTTTATTATCAATTAGAGCGGAAGAAGGATTCAGTCGAATTTACCTGTGACTTTGAGGACTACCAAGGGATCGTGCATCGGTATGATATTGGTGAGGTCTCTCATGGTGAAATCTCCAGCGGGATGAACTTGATCCGACCGAAATGTGCCAGAGTTTAAAATAACTAGATCGGCACCGGTAGCGGCCAATACTACGTCGCACACCTAAAACCCATATGTATATTACAATTCACCTTCAAAGTCATTCATTGGTGTATCAGGGTATTCTTGAAGGTGTGGCATTTGTTCAATAGGATGTAGAACTCATCCAAATAGATGAAATCACCAAAAATAGCCCACATGAAAATTAAAAAATAACGAAGTTCAGAAACTCAACTATAGATTTTGCCCTATTACGGTCCTGATGTATTTACCATTACGGGTGGCCTTCCCACATGTCCTCCTCTTTGTTTCTATATACACCCTGTGTCAGGACACCTTTGCACCTAATTAAGCAATATTCGTAGTGTTGGATGATTTTCCAACGGAAATCCTTCCTTGTACAATCGAAATATAAGGAAACCGGGTAACTAAATTCGGCTGAAGCTATTAAATTTGAATCATCAAATACTATTCATAAAATAAATACTAACTACATGAAAACAACAATCAAACTTATTCCCAACTAGCAGACCTTGCAAACGTTGTTTTGCTATATACATTATTTCTATAATATAATTTTTCAGTTCAATATTCACCAAGACACTATAATTATTTTATTTTCTACTTCTTTTTAGTTTCGCTATCCGTGTTTCTTAAGTTTTGCAAACTACCAATTTCAACTTCTTTTTAGTTCACTTGAATTTTCCAATTTTGACGAAAGAATCATAATTTTTGATGCCGAAAACGACCACTTACAAATTTTGGATGGAGTCGGTATATAAATTACAAATCTCGTCCAGTATATTGGTTCCACCGTCTTGAATTTACAAAACCCGCCCTATCGTAATTTTGACAAGAGAATCATAATCTCCGACCCCGAAAACACTCAGATAACAATTTTGAAGAAAGTCGGATCATAATTACAATACTCGTCCGCCATCTTGAATTTGCTTATTTTGACGAAAGAATCATAATCTCCGATCCCGATAACTACCAGATACCAAATTTGAATGGAATCGAATCCTAATTACAAAATGCACCATTTTGGATCCGCTATCTTTCCTAATTTTGACAAAGGAATCATAATCCCTGATCACGAGAACCCCTAGGCACCAATTTTGAAAAGAATCGGATTATAATTACAAAACTCGTCCGCCATATTGGTTCCGCCATCTTGAATTTCCAAACTCCGCCCGAATTTTCAAATTCTGACGAAAGAATCATAATCTCCGACCCCGAAAACCATCAGATACCAATTTTAAATAGAATCGGACCATAATAACAAAACTCGTCCGATATATTAGATCCGCCATCTTGAATTTCCTAATGGTACCGGGATAAAAAGTATTCTATAACCTTCTCCTGGTTCTAAGCAACCTCCCCCAGTCCCCACCAATTTTCAGCCAAATCGATCCGTTAGTTTCGGAGCCTATTCAATACATACAAATAAACAAAGAAACATTCAAATATTTCCTCGTTATAATATTAGTGAGCGTGTACACCTTAGTAGAACTTTTGACTCAAATCATGTTTATAATGATCCTTTTATACATAAATAATGATTGACGACATAATTCGATCGAAAAATTAACTGGAATGTTTTATTTTTGGACATAAATAATAGTACCTTCTGAAAACGGACCCTCTTATGACGTAGAAACCTCATCTCGCCATAGTTAAAAGAAAATAACAAACGCCCGACGTAGACTGAGGCAACTGATATATTAATCCTTTCAAATGTGATCTCGCGCTAATTCACTCTGTCAGAAATCATGTATCATTCATCTCTGTCTGGAATAGTCTTGTTTCAGTATTAGGGTTTTGACGTCACATCATCGCCTCGTTTTCAGAGGTCCGAAAAATCGGGGATTTCAATAATTTTTTATAAAACGTAGGGAGCTCACAGCAAGAAACGGTTTGCGGTGGTGAGCTAGTTTGGGTGAGTTCTATCGAATTATGAAATAAATTTTTTTTGTGATATAAGCCCATTGCTCAACAAGAGCGGCAAACAATTTACGGCCAAATAGATTCAAATCTACCAGAACTCAAAGCTCAATTACTTGCAAAGCTGTTAATCATTATGATAACCTACCAAGTGAACTAAGAAATAATGATAGTATGAAATCGATCAGAAAGCAGTTGTTTGATTTCATTCTCAATAACGACATGATTTGAAAATTTTGTGTTTGTTTTATATGCTTATCTATGTCTTGTCATGTACTAAGTTCTAGGGCAATCAATTCAATTACTTATCAATTCATGTATCACTTTCAAAAACAGTATGATTCTCATAAATGATTATGTGAAATAAATAAAAATGTTGCTGCTGCATTGGCGACACTTACCACAAATCAAAAGCACGTCAACAAGTTTATCGTTTCCGTAAATGTGCTACATTGTTTGACAATACACAGAAAAAAACAATTGAGAACGAGAATCCGATGACTGGCGGTAAACAAACAGAATTTTACTGTTGACGGTATAGTAGGGGGTGGCGTAGGATCAGTCGGGTAATCACCGAACAGATGTTCATGCGGCCAGGACCGTAATAAAATTCTCTTAATACGTATATTATGTTCAATTATATGTTCAATTGATATCTCCAATATGAACTCTACATCCTCTTAAAAAATGCCTCACCTTCGAGAGCTCCCTGTATATTGTTGAAGACTTACCCAGTTCCCTAAATTCGATTCTGAAGTTCGAATGGACGTGAATCGGCCATCTAGTGGTACAGAAAAACAACCTAAAACCTCGTCCATTTTTCCCTCGATCATCGCTAGAAAAAACATTTGAACCATCATACTCTCACTACCAGTGCTAGAAAGATCAAAAAGACAAAGTTACCAATGATTGCCCTATTGTGAAGCTCACATTGTCTGGCCATAAAAAAACTAGGTGTTGCTTGAACCCAATTCCAATGGGTCTCCTAGTTTGACCCACATAAAGTACGATGCAAATATATGGAATAAATTCGATATTTCAAAAATATGCTACTTTTGAAAACATCCAAAAACACGTAGGTTTCAATTTTTGAAACGCCATTTCATGATTCACATATAATGGCTAATTAACTAATGGACAAATATTTAATCATACTGGATACGCCAAGACTGTTTATATGCATTCATTACATCATTCATTCAAATACAATAAAATCACAATAAATGTTGAAATTGATATGATATTTAACAATGATGCAATATGAAAGGTGAGCAGTAATTTCTTCTCTAACGTTTTCGAGAACAGGGGATATTTGTGAAGTCTCTGTTCTGATGCGTTTTTCCATAAGATATTATTCTATCTTCAGAGCCAATGATAATGAATATTTCGATTAATTCGGTTCTTGTTATTAAAGTTCAATTCAATGATAATACATTACTTATTTCCAATTAGCGTGTAGAAATTTTTGCAATTGATGTATCTTGTTTCTGAGTAAACAAAGACACTAAGATGTTTAATTATCAGTGGTTAACCTTAGCATAATTCAGTTCAGCATTTCAACAAATGAGCATTAATTATAATTCCAATCTTCTGAATACATACTTTTGATTGACCTCGACATATTTGAATAGTTATGCTATTTTTTTTATTGGATAGACGATCAGTACACCTTTTGAATGAGGTGTCATATGACTCCTATTTGTATGAAAAAAATCGTCAATTTAGAAAATAATCAATGTATTCCATACATTTACATCCTATGTATGTTTGAGCGTTGTCCAACTGAATGAACTGAAAAATTTGGTGAGAATGTAGCAAACATTCTATAGAAAGAAGGCCAGTGTTCCAGTTCAATACTTGATTATCTATCATGTCGACTGGCTACAGTAGTTATCGTCAAATCGAATTGGAAATCTATACATATATATGCCTACCATTTTTTTCTACATCAATGCAATTTTTTTCTTGAGATATTAACACTAACACAGTTAGCAAATCACTCACATGTATACTTCTCCAGCTTCTCCTTCAACGAGGGATCTTCGGGTATCTTCGACGTGACGTTGACCTCTTCGATGGTCACTTCGGGACAACTGCCGCTGGTCTTGTCGAAGTTCACCGTGATCTTGCTGAACTGCCTGAAGTCCGTGCCACTCTTCACTATATACCTATATCAAGACAAGAATATTTCCTATCGATAGGCAAGAACACTTTCTAGAAAAATTACTGCGACGTTCATCACGACATAGATTTTTCTAGAATTTTTTATTCCTTCTAGGATTCCCGAAATAAATTCCCAAAGGAATGCTCCTGACCGGGATAGACAGCGTTTTTAGCATCTTTGGACATTTCAACATTCATTGCTCTAAAGATTCAACTGATTTCAACAATGTCATGGATGAACTGAGTAAAGCAGTTTGGTCACTTGTTTCTGTTTCCTGATAAACGGCAATATGACATATTATCAAATAGATATCAAAGTGATGTAATCAGATTCTGAGGTTCATTAAAAACGCGAGTATACCATCTTTCAATTAAATTGTATAAACCTCGGAATAAAAGTATAATAATAATGTGGATTATACCAAATTTGGTCGCTGCTGATGGAGCCTACACGTGCTACAACCTACTCAATTAGTGATCATGTCAGCTATAAACTAGCCGAATTGGCAATGGTGGTGAAACCTATATTGGTGACATTTACTACACCAATGAATCAAAATCAAATCAAGTCGACACTTCACACTTGGATTGATTCGAAAATTAGAAAATATGAATTAATATCTCCTAAAAATGCTGGCAACAACCAATTCTTCACCTTGATTTTCGCAGAGAAAAATAGAGGTTTGAATGCGCAAATAATTATGGTTGTATTCACATTGACTCACATACCTTGAGACACAAATTAATGTACCTCGAAAAATCAAATTTTCCAAACCATCAATTCTTTACCTCGATTTTCCCACAAAAGTAGGCTTAGATGAAAAAATAGTATATTGCAATCATTCGAGTGGGAAATCGGCATTCCGTGTGAGTTATACACTATAATTTTTCTACGGCTGTAACAGATAACAGCGAGTTTTTTTTTATAATAACACAATGGAGTCATTGTGATATCAGATACGGAAATAAAATTAATGACATACAAAGTACCTCATTGATTTATGGAACACAGTAAAACAAGAGCAATTTGGTGTTATAGCCGTAGAAAAAAAGAATGGTTGTATACACAATTTGGAAAAAACTAATGGAAATACCTCAATAAATGCAATTTTCAAACCATCAATTCTTCACCTTGATTTTCTCACAGAAAAATAGACACAGAGAATTGCTGCATAAACATTGCCTTATATACCTCGGGAGAGGAGTAATTTGGGAAAAACGATTGAAGATACCTCAAAAAATCAACTTTTCAAACCAATCAATTCTCCATCTTGATATTCCCACAGAAGAGTATAGGTTAAGATGATAGCAAGAGGAGCAATTTGGAAAAAAACGATGTTAAGATTATAGAAAAAAATGGTTATATTACACATTGACTAACATACCTCTGGAGAGGAGCAATTTGGAAAAAAACCTTGCCTATAGTACAGTCGTCTTGAATAAAATTGTTGAGAAGATTCTTAAAAAACGCATTGTAGATTTCATAAATAGAAAATATAGCTTTGACATGAATCAATTTGGTTTTCAAGAAAATAGTGGCACACAAGCGGCAATATTACAAGTAATACAAGCAATACAAAAAGGACTTGATACCGGAAATTATGTGATAGCAATTTTTGTTGATCTCAAGAAAGCTTTCGATACAGTAGACCACATAACACTTTTGGAAAATTTAGAATCAATGGGACTCAGAGGCATGATAAGGAACCTTTTAGATTTGTATCTTCAAAATAGGACAATCAGTACCAAATCTACCAACTCAGAGTCTCATAGACTACCGATGACTAAAGGTGTCCCTCAAGGATCTGTTTTAGGACCAATTTTATATTTATTATATATTCAAAATATCACGAAAATTGATACAGAATGTAATTACACTATTTATGCAGACGATACGGTACTTTTATATGAAAATAAAAATCCTATCATTTTAGAAAATATAATAAACAGAGACTTGATGAAATTTGAAAATTGGCTGCATTCAAACCTCTTATCAATAAATACTGATAAAACTGAATATATGATTTTTCAACAAAAAAATAAACAAAATATAAATTTAAATCTCAGAATTAAAAATTAATCTTTGAAACAAACTAATGAGAAAAAGTATCTTGGGATTTGGTTTGATGATAAATTGAAGTGGGACAAACATATAAATGTTTTGAAGAAAAAAATATCTCCTATTATTGGAGCCCTGAGAAGATGTCCCAAGCTGAATAAAAAAGTTGCAAATATAATTCTATATTCTCATATACTCAGTCGTATTAACTATTTGATAAATGTTTGGGGATACTGTTCAAAAAACAATTTTAATAAAATATCTGCATTATATAAAAAGACATTGAAAGTACTGTATCGTTTACCATATGATACACCAACAAATCAATTATATAAAATAACTGAATCATTCTCATTAGAAGAAATGTTCAAAAGCGAAAGACTGAAAATTACATACAATATCATAAATAAAAGATTGAAATCTAATTTTATTTTAACACGAAACAATGAAATTCATAATTATCAAACTAGACAACATGGTTTATTTCATCTTGATATCGCTAATACTTCTATAGGCCAAAAAAGATTCACCCACGCTGCTCTCTTGGAATATAACAAATTACCAGATAATATAAAAAATTGCAGAAATACAATAAAATTCAAATACCATCTTAAAAAATTTATCATTTCTGAACGAAATAGATGACTTACTTTTGATTCATATTCAAATTGATTTTTGCTCAGCAATATGAAATGATTTGTCAAAATTTAATAATTAATGTTTTCAAATATTTTATTATTCATCAGTTTATTATAATTGTATAGTTTTAGGTATTATTGTTAACTATACTTCCTTATACCAGAACTTGATTCTGACTGGAAGTAACATTTTCAATAAATAAATAAATAAATAAATAATACAAGTATTAACCAGAGAGGTTTACGTCATAATAGTTCTAGTTCTGTTAAACTGGCTCAGCCAATGCTTTGTGTTTTTGAGAACCTATGACAACTTTACTGTCAACATTTAGTAAACAATCATTCCCGATAGCCCGTTTTACACATATGAGATGACCTTAATTCCTCTCTCTAATATACTTGTAACATCCATTGTATTTCAGATTGGTGAATATTTGTTATCAGAGAGGTTAATATGTGATAATTCAGAAAATGTTGCGTTGGTAATTAGGGACTATTTAGTTGTACAGGGTGTTTCTTAAGTACGTGTAGAAAATCCAGGAGCATGCGTCAAAATAAGAAGAAAAGTTCGTATAAATATGTCTGAAAGATGAGTGTCAAAGTTGAATTCTTATTTTTGTCTATTGTTAATAAATTTCAAAATAATTGTGATATCGGAATAAAATTTGGTATCTAGGGATATTTTTCAATGACCATATCAAATTTTATGTAAGTTTGTCTCTCGTGGGGGTGGAGCCACCTACATGTCTTTTGCGTCTTTTGAAAAGTTATAACTTTTTTGTGCGTACCTGTATAACGTTTCATAGTAAAAAAATTGATTTTTAAAACACTTGTGTGTAAAAAATATATTCTTGGTAGAGGTCGCTGCGAGCAACTGTTTTCGAGTTATTAGGATTGGAAATAATCGATGCATTCGAATTATTTCCATGTGGCTCGTAAGTCGCCTCTAGTGAATATCAGAAAAGATACGCCAGTGCATTTTTCTTCTTTCATTCAATATTCTTCTTCATTCCACATTGGAATGTAGGCAAAATATGATTCTTACTTATTTGTAGCTGCTTTTTTGAACTCTATAAGAATTCAACTCTGACACTCTGTATATCAGGAACAGATAACTTTCGGACATATGTTTATAAGAAATTGTATTCCTATTTAGACGTCAGCAACATGCTCCTGAATTTTCTACACGAACTTAAGAAACACTCTGTATAACTCCTATTCTTGAATAATTTCATTGCAATGTGAGACAATCCATTCAAAACGAACATATCAACTGTTTTTTATAGTTTCCCTTCCATTTAGACGTTCGATGTTTACCTGCCGTTAACCTGCTTAATTTCGTAGACGTGGTCGTGCCCTCCCAAGATGAGATCGATATCTTCGCAACTCTCTGCCAGCTTGATGTCGTTGGGCGTGCGCATGTGCGTCAGGGCTATCACGTAGTCGCAACCCTGTAGGTGAAACGAGGGCTTTCATTATCGACTATCGATCGACTCGTACATGCGACACAATTACAAAATAAATTATTAAAAAATAATAATAATGGGCGAGTGAACTGATAATGAATTATTAGCATTCAATTACTCCACTGTGTCGTTAGGAACAGATGTTGAAAATTATAGATGTTAAGTGGTTCAAGTCTCGTGGCAAAATACCTGCATTTTGCTGATTTCTTAGTTTTATAGGCGACGCTTCGTCACAGAAACGACGTTTTATCAATGAAGTTTCTTAAATAAGCAACTGGAAATAATTATAGAATATAATATTTGAATACATATTAATGCTAACCTCGTAGAGGGTGTGAAGTGTAACTTCACAACAATACCATTCCAGACAAGTTGAAGATTGATAAGTATCCGGCTAGGCTACCTCAGTTTCACCATTCCCACACTCACAAATCTTGAGCCCCTGAGGGAATGACAATATATGCTCACCTCCTGCTTCAATTGGGCGGCCAGCTTCTGCCCGGCCTCGACGAAGTCCAGGAACGTCGTCTCCTCGGGATTCACCGTCGCCAGCGTGTCGAGCCACTCCTTCTCGACCAATCCGAGCAGGCCGACGCGCCTGCCTGCCCAATGAACGACGTGCGTGATGCGGCCCTCGCCCAACGGGCGGCCCGTCTCGTTGTCCAGCACGTTCGACATCAGCCAGGGGAAGTCCGTCTGGGCGACCCATTGCGAGAGAACTTCGAGGCCGTGGTCTAGAAAGGGGACGGATAACGGAGAGGTGAAAAAACATAATTCACATTTTGTCTAGCTTATCAGAGGAAAAGAAACCTACAGAAATGTTACAGATGCCTAGGACATATTGAAATGTTGACCAAAACTGACATTCTTGATGGGGAAGTTTCCTTCAGATGAATTTTCATATAGTAAGCTCGGAACTCCTCAGTTTTATGTCAACGTTGAACAGAATGACGATCGATAAAGTCGTTTTTATTTTCAAAATGAAGCAATTTCTCACTTTCGGAAAAACAAACTGTGAGGTATATTCTCAATCTATTCTGAATATAACTGATTATGAGGAATATAGAATAAAGAAAAGCTAACGAATGAAAAAAAAAAGGTTGAAAAAATATAAGAAGACAACTTAGCGTCGTTGTTGCTTATATCATTAGAAATAACAAACTAATAAAACAACTATAAACAATAGAAGTATGCTACCGAATAACCGGAGATCAAAAATCGACACAAGTAAAACTGGTGAACAGAAACATAGCCGCAATATCATATCAGCTGTCGGTGTGCCTGTTAGTATTTTGTGTGGTGTGGACGGGCTCAAAGTATTATGCGCTGTTGCAAGATATAATCTGCAACTTTCATAGAAAATAGATCCGTTTTATAAAGGAACGAATTAATTTGCAAAATAATGACTGACAAGTTATGATTATCATTTTGCAACCTAACGAAAGTGACAATTTTAGATACTATAGCAAAATAATAGTTATTTATTATACAAGGGAAAAAAGTAGTAGATTTTAGCTCCAGGTTGTGTTGTCTCCCGACGCGTAGCGGAGGGAGACCAAAAACCGTGAGCTAAAATCTAATATTTTCCCCGTGTATAATACACTATTTTTTTCTGTGACAGAAGAAAGGACGAATCAATATTGAGAAGATATTACATTATTTTGAAATCTGAAAATTTACGACGTAAAATTTTAAGTTTTCAACAGTAGGGACACCTGTGTTGTAGGCATCATTATCATTCTTTTGAAGTAATCAAATATCTGATGTCACTTCTATCAGTCTAATTCTGTGGTTTGATTTCATAAAATTGCGAATTTAGTGGTTGTTTAGTAATATACATAACCGCGAAGTCCAATGGAAGATAAAAGGACTTGCAGTTCTTTCTTGGAGATGATATTAATGACTCATTTTTAGGAACTATAGCACAACAAAAGCCATCAACAGTGCATATATATGTGATATATATCCGGGAAGAAAGTACTCACTTTTTTCCCACGCGAAAGAAGTAATTTATGAAAAGGGGCATTTTATAACCTGCCAACAGAGATGAAATGCCAAACTTTTTTCCCGTCACAGAAAAAAAATCATAATTCACATTTTTCTAGTTTATCAGAGGAAAATAAATCTACAGAAATATTACAGATGCCTAGGAAACATTGAAATGTTTACCAAAACCAATATTCTTAATGGGAAAGTTTACATACAGTAAGTTCGGAACTCCCCAGTTTTATGTCAACGCTTAACAGAATGGCGATCGATAAAGTCCGAGTCCCAAGTCTTTTTAATTTTCAAATTAAAGCAATCTCTAATTTTCGGGGCGGCAAACTGTGACGTACATTCTGAATCTATTCTGAATATAGCTGACGATGAAGAATATAGCTAGCAAAGAGCTAACGAATAAAAGAAACGATACAAAAAATAGAAGAAGACAACTTGGCGTCGTTGTTGATTATATCATGAAAAATAGTAAACTAACAAAACAACTATAAGCAATAGACATATGTTAACGAATAACCGGAGATCAAAAATCGAACCAAGTAAAACTGGTGAACAAAAACATAACCGCAATATCAGATCGGCTGTCGGTGTGCCTGTTAGTATTTTGTGTGGTGTGGACGGGCTCAATGTATTATGCGCTGTTGCAAGATATAATCCAACTTTATTGCAAAATATCATAATTTATCTACTCGGCGAGACGACTTCTAGGCCCTGGTTTAGAAAGAGGGCGGATGACGGGGCGATGTACACATTTTGTCTAGCTTATCAGAGAAAAAGAAACCTACAGAAATATTACCGATGCCTAGGAAATATTGAAATATTTAGCAAAACTGACATTCTCAATAGGGAAGTTTCCTTCAGATCAATTTTCAAATAGTAAGCTCAGAACTCCTCAGTTTTATGTCTACGCTGAATAAAATGGCGATAGGTCAAGTCCAAGTCGTTTTTATTCTCAAAATGAATCAATTTCTCACTTTCGGGGAGGCAAACTATGAGGTATATTCTGAAACTATTCTGAATATAACTGATGATGAAGAATATAGCTAGCGAAGAGCTGACGAATGAAAAAACGATTAAAAAGACAACTTGGCATATCATGAAAAATAACAAACTAACAAAACAACTATAATATATAGACATACGCTAACAAATAATTGGCGAACGAAAATCGACACAATTAAAACTGGTGAACAAAAACGTACATAACCACAAAATTAGATCAGCTCTCGAGTGTGCCTATCAGTATTTTGTGTGGTGTGGAAGAGCTCAAAGTATTATACATTGAAATGTTTATTCCTCTCTATAGATCATGAGAATTCTTGAGCACATATCTTTCATTTTTCGTGCGATCAAATTTGAATTCAGAAAAATTCGTGAAGATATAGTTTCGGCTCCTCCACCATTTTCATGACGTACGCACAGCTGAAAATGCGAGCCATATTACGTCAGTATAGCGTTACATTATTTATCGATACATCTTTTGAGGTGATGTGTGTATTTTGGACGTTTTGTTTGTAATCTCTGGAGTATTTTTTCTAGATGTATCAAAAGATGAAATTGTCTCCGCAAAAATGACAGAAATATAGCGATCTCTAGATTCAGTCGATTTTTATACTCACCAAAGTCATGGTTGCCAAGAACCGCACAATGGGTACCACAATCGTTGAGAACTGGAACCATTTGTTCACCTTTTGTAAAAGTACTCACTGAAAGTAATAAAGATACATACTTATATAAACTGCACAATTCTCAATTATTATTGATATCAAATTAACAATAATTAACATTAACAAAGCCCATGACCATGGGGGAAACGTTTCTATAATTCAACCCATCTTGATTTATTTCAAATCTGAATCGAAACCCCAAGAAAAAGCCTTTGAAAAAAATGTATAAAGCAAGATTCAAGAAAACCCCTCCTCAACAAAATAAATATCATCATAAAATAACGTCTAGCTTGTGCCGGCTAGAATGACTTTATAAAACAGAGTGGCGACAATAGTGGTGTACTTTCTGATTGCTCATACCTCTGATATGGAGACGCATCCACCTGTTTTGGTTACCATTCAGTTCTATGCATTCTATTTCACTTTGTCATAGTTTCTCGCTCTTTGGACACAAAATATCCAACAATCAGACATGAAACTCTATGCGTCGGTACAACTCGGAACTATCGCCTTATTCATCTATTTCTTTTTTGTTTTATTGTTTCATCATGTATTCTGTAGTCGTCTTATTAATATACGTTCAATTTCATTAAATTGTGACTATGTTAACTGTTGGAGGTACTCACTGAATTTTACGTGTCTGTGTATGTACCGGGTGAAATTTACTGATATATTTTTAGTATCTCAGAGGATATACATGGAACGAGAAAAACTGTAAAAATTTTAAATGGAAGGCCCAATATATTTGCGCGCCATTAGATAGACCTTTCGAAGAGCTTTCCGAAAATACTCCACTTAATACATTTATCTTAAACCACAGAGCTTTGATTCCTGACTAATCTCAACTTTCTATTTGTAACATGCTCATACTGCCATATGAGGTTCTGAATTCTCAGCAACTCAGCAGGACTTTTTCACACAATTCTGCATTCCCAAAAGGAAATTTGTGTAACAAAACAATGTCCGTAACCACACTAGGAAGAGTACAAAAGAACTAAAAAATACTTCCAGGATTCAACTTTCACTGGTTTGTTCATTTGATAGATGTTTTGAAAACACAATCCCTGCTCGGGCGCCAAATTTATAACGGCACCTACTCTTGAGACTCGTAAGTTAGCGCCCCAACTCGATTTATTAACTTATATACTCAGGCACCGGGCAACTTTCAGTGGAGAAAGTATGATCCAGGGGTCTGGGATTTCAACTGTCAAAGTGACATAACTTGTATTCATTTAAATTCTTTATATCGCAGATAAGTACAAAAACTATCGAAAAAGAATCAAAACCTCTTTGAAACAATAATAAATTCCATGCTGACAATGCTGAATTGGTTTGTTGACCACCCTCGAAACGGTTCTAAAGTTCGACACCAAAGACGTACCTCCTAAGTACATACTAAATTCGAGTGCCATTCCTGCGAATCCCGCATCAGAACAATGAATACGGGTTAGTTATAACAGAGATTGCTATATCTTTATTGACTAGTGATAATTCATACAATGACGAACTACCTTGGTAGAAAGAACACACTTCACACCTACGTCTAGTTCGTGATACTCACGCATGCTGGGCGAGAAGGCGTCCCCGCTGAACAGCACGAGCGGGTGCAGGTGCTGGTAGCCCTTGAGGGACAATTGTGTAACGAAACAATGTCCTTGCACAAATTCTTCCTTGATTCAACTTTCACTGGTTTATTCATTTGATAGATGTTATGAAAACACAATCCCTGCTCGGGCGCCATATTTGTAACGGCACCTACTCCTGAGACTTGTTAGTTAGCGCCCGAACTACTCATATACTGAGGCACCGGGCAACTTTCAGTGGCGAAAGTATGATCCAGGGGTCTGGGATTTCAACTGTCAAAGTGACATAACTTGTATTCATTTAACTTCAATATAACTCAAGTGAGTACAAAACCTATCGAAGAAGAATCAAAACCTGTTTGAAACAATTATAAATTATATGCTGACAATGCTGAATTGGTTCGTTGACTACCCTCGAAACGGTTCATAAGTTCGACATCAAAGACGTTCATCCTAGATTCGAATGCCATTCCTGCGAATTCCGCATCAGAACAAGGGATACGGGTTGAAATGACGTAAACTACCCGAGAGTGGGAAGAACACACTTCACATCTACGACTAGTTCGTGATACTCACGCATGCTGGGCGAGAAGGCGTCCCCGCTGAACAGCACGAGCGGGTGCAGGTGCTGGTAGCCCTTGAGGGATAATTGTGTAACGAAACATTGTCCTTGCACTAGGAAGAGTAGAAAGATGCTTAAAAAATACTTCCTTGATGCAACTTTCACTGGTTCATTCATTTGATAGATGTTATGAAAACACAATCCCTGCTCGGGCGCCATATTTGAAACGGCACCTACTCCTGAGACTTGTAATTTAGCGCCCCAACTAGATTCATTAACTCATATACTGAGGCACCGGGCAACTTTCAGTGGAGAAAGTATGATCCAGGGGTCTGGGATTTCAACTGTCAAAGTGACATAACTTGTATTCATTTAACTTCAATATAACTCAAGTAAGTACAAAACCTATCGAAAAAGAATCAAAACCTGTTTGAAACAATTATAAATTATATGCTGATAATGCTAAATTGGTTCGTTGACTACCCTTGAAACTTGAATGCCATTCCTGCGAATTCCGCATCAGAACAAGGGATACGGGTTGAAATGACGTAAACTACCCGAAAGTGGGAAGAACACACTTCACACCTACGACTAGTTCGTGATACTCACGCATGCTGGGCGAGAAGGCGTCCCCGCTGAACAGCACGAGCGGGTGCAGGTGCTGGTAGCCCTTGAGGGCGGCGCAGAAGCGGGCTGCACCGCCCACCGGTTCGGGCGCCTGCCGCGGCTCCACGTTGTACACGTCGTTGAAGTGCAGGATGACGAGGTGCTGGGCGGTCGCACCGCCCGACAGCGTGTGGACTGCCCTTCGACCGGCCGCGCGCACCTCCAGCGAGGCCTGAGGGGAGAGAGAGAGAATATACAACTTGAAACGGTAAAACTGCATTTATCATGCGATGTTTTCTTTTTCGAAATTTTTTTGGTACTTACAGTCGTATTCAATGAAAAAGCGTACAAGTATTAAACAGAATATTTCGGCATCCTAGTTCTAGTTGTGTGTAACTGGCTCAGCCAATGCTTTGTGTTTTTGAGAACCTATGATTACTCTACTGTCAATATTTGGTAAGAATTCATTCCCGATACGCAAAAAGGACGTTAATTTCTCTCTCAAATATACTTGTACGCTTCTTTTTTAATACGACGACTGTACGTATTTTTGTCTGAAAAAAACGAATTTGATGTGAACAAACCATTATTTATTAAGATATTTCACTATATGAAGTAATAAATTTCACCTTCTTCTCCGCCTGTCTTCTGGATCGCATTTAGAACAATTTGCCCTTCTTTTTTCATCATTGGACATTTTACATATATCACAATGTACGAAACATTTCTTTCTATTATATGAGTCAACTAGATATATGGTTTTCTTCTGATTCATCCATATTCAGTGAAAAGAGGGAAGCATATCCACGGCATATCATTTGAAATAATGGCGTGGGTGAAGTTATTCAAAAGCAATCTGTTAACATTTGACATCTCGTATTTGGATTGACTATTGATCAAATGGACGTCATCTGGTATGCTTGTTCACTAAATATGAAAAACTCGCAATAAAAATCATATATTCTGTTGAATTTTCTACATAAAAATGTGTCTTTGAAGTGCATCATGAGTATATAAAGTGTCTTAATGACAAAATAAGAAGAGTAAGTAGCTGTAAATGCATCCAACACAATAGGAAATAGAAACTTCTTCGAACTTCGAACTTCTTTTTGAAATATCTCGTTAAATAGTGGTTTGTTCACATTTTCATCATCAAATTCATGTTTTTCAGACAAAAATACGTAGGTACCAAAAAATTTTCGAAAAAAATCCATCGCATGATAAATGCAGTTTTACCCTTGAAACTTTAGTTGGTTGAAGTTGGAACGGGAATAATTACAGAGATATAGGGTGTTCAAAATCAAGATTTTTCAACTTTAGGATATTTGTGTATATATGAATACAGGGTAGTTCAAAATTCAGAATTATGAACCACCCTGTATCCGTTCAAATTAAATATCAGTAGATAGTAAATCAAACGTAAAGATAGGGACATGAAAGCCGTTTTGACCGATAATGAATAGTTTCGACAGAAAAAATCCTAAAGTCAAAAAATTTCGATTTTGAACACCCTATATCTCTGTAATCATTCCCGCTAGACACCAAGTGAGATACATTGAGGAAAGCAGCTCATCAGGAAGAATCTTAAAAATGCAATGAAATACAGGGTGGTCCATTTGAAAATCGAGAGTTGATGCCAGTTACGCTTCGAGATTTCAACTTTGGAATATGATAATTGCAGAAAAAAAGTGTCCCCCGCCGAATTGAAATCGACCTGTCCGAGCGACTTTCAATTCTTTTAACGACATCGGAGATTAGGGGGGTGACGAGTTTCAGATGGGACACACTGTATATGCTCGGCAGCGTCTTCTTATTTCCGTATTTGTTATTCTAGTTGTAAAATTATTTCGTATGTGCAGGGAAGCGTCGATTATCCTTTGTATGAGCTCCTCGCATCAAGTATTCACTAGAGATTCATAAACTAGCGTTCTCATATGACCCCACACATAATAATCAATAGGAGTTAGGTCAGAGCTTCGCGCTGGCCAACCAATCCAATGGTTAGGAAAACGTTTATATTATAGGAACTGCCGATAATGCGCTGGATGGTTGTTGAAATATCATTCGTCCTCTGATGGCGAGAGGAATATCCTCAAGAAGCTCCTGTAGATCATGTCCATGCCGTAGAAAATGTTCATACATTTCCCCGTACAAATTGTCTAGGAAAAATGTGATGCTATTGAATAACGGTCAATGAGTCCCATGTACAGTGTGTCCAGTTTTCGATGCTTTTGCCTGATATCTCAGTTATCTCTGGAGATAGAACCTTGCGGTTTTCGCGGTCCTGTGCCACTTTTTTGTGAAACTCAAGATGGCCTAATCAGATTTTGCAAGACTGTTTCCGTTTATGAGATACAGGGCGATTTTGAAAATTTATACTTTTTGGACCCCCTCTATATCCACGAAGTTTCTCAACAAAAATTTTAAATCAAAATCTTATCGCATAGAGAATTTCACGCATAATCCAGTGGCGCACTTAAATTTTTTCTTCGGGGTATGGTTTTGGAGATACGATTCAAACTTATGATTTTTCAAATGGAACACCCTGTATTCCATAAGCTCATTAAATTCCTTATTTTTTGTCTTCAAAATGATATATAACGAATGGATATAAAATTTTCAAAATTGCTCAAAATCACTAAAATATTGAATTTTGATAGTTGGTTATGGATTTTTCTTATAAAAAACGTTCCAATTGAAGAAATATTTCTTTAAATTTTTCCATGGAGAGGTCAAAACCAATATCAACACTTATCAATTAACAAAACACTAAACTTGGGTACCTGATAGCAACAAATAAATAGTAATGAAAAGTTCATAATGTAGAATAAGCACCTGATTAAATATTTACTAAAATAATTGAATTCCGGAATTATTCTGTAACTTATTCATTGACATGTTCAAATTGATATCCATTTTCCCTAACATACAGTTGACAAACTTTCTTAATACTTCTTAATACAGTGAGTGGCCCAACATACTTGAAGAACTTTGTGCAACAACAGAGGCAGTTTTCCAGGAATTACAAAGACATATTTCAATGATTAATATGTATTGAGAAAGTCTGTGATGGAAAATGGACATCAATTTGAACAATTCAATGAATAAATCACTGAATAATTTCGAAATTCAATTGTTTTCGTAAATATTCAATCAGGTGCTTATTCTACATTATAAACTATCTATTACTATATATTTGTGGATATCAGGTATCTAAGTCTTGTGTTTTGCAAGTTAATTAGTGTTGAAATTGTTATTTTCCCCTTCATGGAACAATCGAAGGAAATATTCCTTCAATTGTAAATTTCTTTATATGAAAATCCCTCGAAAAACCCATACCCCACTAGTAAAATTCAATGTTTTAGTGATTTTTGAACATTTTTGAAAATGTTATATTGATACATCATTTATCATTTCGAAGGGAAAAAAATAAGGAATTTAATGAGCATATAAAATACAGAGTATTCAATTTGAAAAATCATAAGTTTGAGTCGTATCTTCAAAACCATACCCCGAAAAAAGATTTTCTGTGCGCCACTGGATTCTGCATGAAATTCTTTATGGGTTAAGATTTTAATTTGACATTTTCGCTGATAAACTTCGTAGATATAGAGGGGGTCCAAAAAGTATAAATTTTCAAAATCGCCCTGTATCTCATAAACGGAAACAGTCCTGCAAAATCTGATTGGGCCATCTTGAGTTTCACAAAAAAGTGGCACAGGACCGCGAAAACCGCAAGGTTCTATCTCCAAAGATAACTGAGATAACAGGATTACCGACAATTGGACGTGGTCAATTGGACGCACGAAAATTGGACGCGGATAATTGGACGCGGCGACAATTGGACGCGGCGACAATTGGACGCGGCGACAATTGGACGCGGCGACAATTGGACGCGACGAAAATTGGACGCGGCGACAATTGAGCGCATGCGAAAATTAAAATAATTTTATAATTCCAATGAAATTTATTGCATGGAATATGCAGGGCTCATATCTATAATATAACAAATACCTAACCTAACCTAACCTATCCTTATACAATGAATTTCATTGGAATTATAAAATTATTTTTATTTACGCATGCAGAATTCTACTCTTCTTACAGGGCAACTACAGGTGTTTCCATGTGTACCCAGTTAGATAGCTATTGCCTTCAGGGAGTTTTAACAAACTTTTGACAAATGTGTGGCTAGAAAGTGTTAAGATCCACCATTCACAAACATAAATACGACTGTATTTTCAATTCATCAATGATCTAAATTATTTCTGTTTTTTCTCAATTCCAAACATAATTATGTATTGAAAAAACTCCACAAACGATCAGATTTCCACAAAATTCTTAAGCACACAACATGTAGCTTCGTCAACAAATTCAACAGTGGTGAACTATTAAGGTCTAATTGATCATTAAGAAAAATGTCAAAATTTTTTAGTTTGTTGATTTTTAATGATTCAAAATGATTGAGTTTCAGTCCTTTATTTTCTACGTGCAGAATTTCGAAATTATCATCAAAACTATGGTTTTCTTCTAATATATGGTTGGCGTATGTTGAATTTGTTTTCTTTTTCATAAAATTCATCTTATGTTCATGAATGCGCTGATTAAACGTACGACCTGTCTGACCGATATATACCTTAGGACAAGATCCACTGTTGAGTTTGTATACCCCTGATTTTTCGAATTTAGAAGTCTTGTCTTTATTATTTTTGATAAACCTTTCCAACGTGTTATTTGTTTTATATGCTACTCTCAAGTCATGTTCATGTAGGAATGAAGCTAGTTTTTTAGTTGAAGATCCGAAATAGGTTAAAGTTCTATAATTTTGATTATTATTCTTGATGGTAGGATAATTTTCTTGAATAGCATTATTATGAAGTATTTTAGAAAGAATACTGTCTATCAGATTAACGTTTTATCCGTTGTTGACTGCAATCTGTTTTATAATATTGAGTTCTTTATTGAAATTTACTTCTGAAAGAGGGACATTCACTAGCCTGTGTATCATACATATGCTGCAATTTTATGTTGATAAGGGTGTGTTGAATTATTATGAATAATGATATCAGTGTGGGAAGGTATATGAAAAATTGAAAAGTCATGTTTATTATTAATTTTACTTATTGTCAAATCTAAGAAGTCGATTGACTTTTCTGTTTCTATTTCCATTGTGAATTTTATGTTTGGATGAATAATATTGATATATTGGTGAAAACTGTCTAATTGTCTATTGGTTCCTTTAAAGTTTAAAGCATACTATCACGTCATCTATGTATCTATACCAATACAAACATTGTTTTATCAATGCATGTTTATGTATTCTGCTTGAAAGGTTGAAGAAATGTACAGCATATTTTCGGGAAACTAACTATTTAATCCTTGATCCAAGGTTTGAAGAAAAACAAAAAAAAATATCTGGAAAACTATCAACTTTTGCATAATGCATAATAGGGATAAATTCGCTCCTTATCACCTCCCATATCACATCTCCAAAGGAAAATAACAGGGAAAATAACAAATTACCAGTGACCTGGTATAGACATAGATAACAGATTATATTCAAAATTACTGGATCAACAATGATGATTATTATCAATTTTTATAATTAATGAGTAAAATCTACATGAAAATATAGGGGTGCCTATAGTTTTCACTCTGAGTGACATTTTGAATAAGTACAGGGTATCATAAATATATAAATAGGTAGACATTCTGAAACTACAAAATCTCAAAATGTCAGCCCAAAAGTTTATATTTGATGTCTCTGATGAATGTAGTACAGTACAAGTACAGTTTCGAAAGTTATCCAAAAACAATTTCATAAAGGGGAAAAGCTCCCATGTGATGAAGCACTTGAATGAGTCTATTACAATATTTAGGAACCTGTTTTTGGGTTATTCATCTTGAAAGATAACATTGTCCTACCAAATATGGTGAAAATCTGGTTAAAAATATATAGTAGTTCCACAATAATATTTACTCAAAATTAATTATCTTCTTACAGTTAACTATTCCACAAATGTTATGCTTTAATTTTGAACAAATTGTGAGAAACGAAATGTTTTCATAAAATACTATGACACTAAGTATTCTTAAAAAAAACACATCTTGTCTATAAAACTCAGAACTAGAAGACCAATTGACCAGTGTGAAAAAAAAAAGTTTCTATTTCAAATAATGAGAAAGTTGGTATTGCTATTTGGCACACCCTGTATAGTTAGAGGACTAAAAATATTTCAAATGTGGCCTACGTAAATTATCCTGTATACTCTATTGATTGTTTAAGTTAGACAAGTTGAAATTTGTGACTTTTTTATTATACATCATCTGAATAAGAACAAAAAATCTAAGAAGTGATTCTATTATTTATTAATAAAACTACACATTTTGTAATGTTTTCAATCCTGAAGTATGCTTGGATGGGGTTGAAATATTCAACCCCTAAGATATTTTGTCTCACAACCTTTTTTGGACAAAAATGTTTTTTTTTTTTTAAAACATGGCCAATGCTTGAGTTTTTGAAAAAACTTTTGAATAAGGTATAAAAGTAAGTAAATAAATTGTGCTTGTCAGCCACATTTTTTCATAAGAAAAATGTTCATTCAAAAAAAAAGTTGTTAGAAAAAATTCCTAGGGGTGGAATATTTACCTTTCTAAGCATACTACAGGGTTAAAAAGAAATTAAGAATGTGAAGTTTTATTGACAAATAATATTTACCAAGTTAACTGTTTTTATCTTAATATGAAGGGAAATTAAAAAAGAAAAACCTTGTCCTTATCTTTGGAGGGGAAGTAACTTTTCCAGGAATTTGCTTATTGGTCAGCCTTTTTTACCTAACATGAAGAACATCAGGAATGATGAAAACGAATTCACTAATAAAATCAGCAATTTTTTGAAATTGATTTCCTTTACATAGGTATTTCATTCAAGACAATAAAATCATTGAATAGTATAGATATCTGATAGCTCCTTCAAATATCCTTTAAAAAGAAATTGTAGAACATCTGTATAGGTACCTAATTATTATATTATTTAAATAGGTAGTTACATCAAATAGGTACCTATCCAATCGAGTATCCAATACTATAGGTAGGTAAGTACTTAGCTACATGATAGAATTTTACCTACTTAAAAATATGTTGGTGAAAATTTGACAGAGTAGTATTATAATAACTTATTATACAAACCTGTTTGAGCCACCCAACCACACTGGTAACCTTGCTGGTAACTTCAGGGGGCACCTCTATACTGTGCTCTTCAACAAGTGAACTCCACTTAGCTCTGAGAGCAGCCTGAGCAGTGAAACTGGCCATCCTCAAAGAACCCCTTTGAAAACAACACTCAATTTATTCAATAAGATAATTATTATACTCCAACCATTTATAATTCAGATTCAATGTTATGCAAACTTCTGAGGGACGTATCACGCCTCTGGGCACGAATTAATTTTAGAATAGCAGCTGGAAGCGGTATTCGTGCCGATTTGAAATTTGAATCTGGTCTGGTTTCACTCTCATTTTTTGTTGCATTCAAAATTTCACTTTCTTCCTTATTGATTAGCAGAGCGTTAATATCTAGCTGAATACATTATTTGGCAGCGACCTAGAAACACTGTTGGCGTTGATTAATTATAATTGTTTCAAGTACAAATTGAATAGTTTCAACATTTCTATTATTGGGTTCGTAAAGGGCATTGAGGAGGTTTCTCGGTTTTGAATGTCATCAAATTCATCTGCATGACAGAAAGAAAGACAGAAACAGAAACGAACAAGCAATCAAATTTCAGAATCGAAACGTAGCCTGACATCTAGTGATCGATTTTTCAATTTGAAAAATTCATTATTCATATATCATCAAGATGAAGTTAGCTGAGTTTTGTGATCCACGGTTCCATAGAGTCTAAGAGACACTTAGCTGATCACTCAAAAAAGTAAGAGGCAAAGTTATGACTGATTGTGACACGAAACAGTATATATCTAATTTTGTTTACGACACCCAATAAAAAAAGATAGATATACAGTAGGTGTCAAAATATGTCAAAACCTTTTGAACCTAAAAATAGAAAATTCGAAAAGAAAGTCGTGTTTACTTTTTTGGGAAATTAATCCAGTGTCCACTGTTCGGCTCTTTTTCAATAAAATATCATTATAACAGATGTTTATTTATCAGTGAATATTCCGGGAAGAAAATTATTGGAGTACAGCCTCCAGAGCTTCAGCAGTAAGATTTTTATTTTTGAATTGAATATTTTCCTATTATCAAAGTTTTGCAATTGTTCATCATCAATCCACCTTTTTCAAATAGTTCTCTACATAATGTCTCGCCAAAGAATAGTAGGTTTTGGTCTCGCCTTGGCATCGCCAAAATGATAATTTTCACTATCAAAAATCCTTGAACCTCTACCTATCTGAAATGAAAATATTTTATTATTTCAGCTTAATCAATGTCACATAATCAGGACGTATATTATCATTAGCAATTAACAAAAATAAAAATATTTTTTCTCTATGATTGTGGTTCTTGGTATTGCACCAGTTAAATATATGTCACTGTGTATTCTACACTTTCACATCCTCCTCCTTGACTGCTTATTGTGTAAGTTCAAAATAAATGTTTCTCAAGTCTCCCTGTCTCAAGAATTATGTACTACTTAGTTTTTTATCTTAGGTGAAATGCTGACCCTCACCATTAGAAATGCCATAAAACGTACTGTAGGTAGAGGATTTGCAAGCTCTTTGGCAAAATCCAAGGAACACCTGGACCCCCAACAGGAGGCATTATTAAGTGAGAAATGCTTCTTGGTAAATGAAAAGGACAACATCATAGGGCAGGCCAGCAAAAGAGAATGTCATTTGGTGCAAAAGGATGGTAATATCCCATTGCACAGAGCATTCAGTGTATTTTTATTCAACAAAAAAGGGGATTTGTTGTTGCAAAAGAGATCAGCAGAAAAGGTGAGAACAAATTCACAACATTTGTTTCAAAATTTTATATTTTTCTTGGTTTTCCTTGACATTTCAGATTACTTACCCTGATCACTATACAAATTCCTGCTGTAGTCACCCTATTGCTGATGTTCCTGGTGAAGAAGAAGAAAATGGGGCAATAGGGATAAAAAGGGCGGCACAGCGTCGTCTCAACCTTGAACTGGGCATTCCTGTTGAACAGATTCCAATTGAAAAACTAGATTATATCACAAGGATACATTACAAGGACAATGGGAATGGAAAGTGGGGGGAGCATGAGATTGACTATGTTTTGTTTCTGCAGGTAAGTTCCCCATCTATGATTTATCCCTGGTCTCCCCCTATATATATATATGGTGTGACCTCCTTTTCAATTGAAATTTCTACTACATCCTCAATAGTTTTTGGATAAAAAAATGAATCATCTTGTGGACATAGGTATTGGCTACATCATCTACATAGTCTCATTTTTTCCACTAGATATACAATATAATTAATTCAAGGCAGTGAAAAACCTTGAGAAAAATAGATGAGTAAAAATTGAAAATTGAATTGTTGCCACATCTTGTTGCTACAAATAACTGTTCTTGCAAGAATCTGCTATCACTGGAATGATAAAAGTGTAATCATTTCTTGACAAAATTGGTTTTGGTCACAATAATTTCTAACTGTTACACATTCTTAAAACAACATGAATATTGTGGAATACATTTTAAATCTGGAAATGTTTTACTCACCTAAATGACACTTTTCTTAACTAATTATATCATTTATATGCTGCAATTCAAGTTCTAACTGTATTGTTTCTTCAATCTATCACACTTTAAATGTGCAAAATGTTCCTTAAACCTAGTTTCAATGGTTCCTCTAGTTTTGCCTACATATGTTCTGCAAGTAACTTGAAGATTGTGGTATAAACATGAGCTAGTCAAACTAGGAAGCCCATAGAAACTGGTTTAGATATCACTTTTGAGTATGGTTCAAAATTTTAAAATCAATTGTACAAGACACATGCATTTTCTGCTTTTTCTAGGCTGAAGTGAAGGTGAAACCAAACCCAAATGAAATATCTGAGATAAGTTTTGTGCCCAGGAATGAATTGGATGACTATCTGCCTCAGTTGAATGGTCCATTCACACCTTGGTTTCAGCTCATTCTGAAGCACAGATTGAGGTACTGGTGGGACAATCTGAACAACATAGATGAAATTAAGGACCATCAGAATATTCTGGAACTCAAATTTTGAGGTCTTGTTAGGACAGTAAAACTATATATATTTATTAATTTCTAAATAAACAACTCCCAATTCTTTAGTTCTCTAAATTTCAGTAACTTTAATTAGGTATTGTTGATTCAATGGTTTCAAATATTTTTTTCTGTTTCCATAAACTTTATTACAAGTGAAATTCTCTACCATTGAAACAATATTGACTCCTATTGTCCTAATTGAAAAAAATTTTCTGATATGTTCTAGAATCATTTTCCAAGGTTCACCAAAGACACCATTTTTGTTTTTGTAATAATAGACTAGAGATTCTATATTTTTCATGTTCATTTATCTATACATATAAACAACTGCAAGAATATAGCTGTTATTTTCAAATCATGATCATCTTATCACCCTGTATATTCAGATATATATAAATAATATATCTTTGGTTCTGGAGTCAATAACTTATCAGTGTGATGACCTGAATTATTTGAGATGATAATAAACCTGTTGTATTATTTTAATTTTTATCAGAACTGAATGTTCTGAATGTTTTGTTGTGAATGTTGAACTTACTTTGGTAATAAAAGCTATATGATTCATAATAAGAAAAATGAAATTATACCCACTTACCTATTTATTACCTACCCATCATGTTTCAGTACGCAGAAACGATAGTTTTGTATTGACTATTCCACTCTCTTGTTCTCGAGAACCAATCAGAATATTATACCATTTTCAAGTATTTTCCATTCCAGTGACATTTTGTTTACTTAAAACTATGAGACTTGTTCTACCAATACAGAAGTCGAAATTTCCCGCAAAATAGTATCACAACTAACTGAACAATTTCACTAGAACTGAGCTGAATCATTTATCATGCCCTCTTTCGAAATAATTTGATTAGTTAGAACACCTTGGTTAGAACCATGATGAAAATAGACATATATCCACCTTTGTTAGAACTAAGTTAGAACATTGTGGATCTACTTATCCTCTAGTACGCGAGGAGGAGAACGAGAACGAAAGTATATCACATAAATAAGAAATATCTAAAGATCATACAGGAAAGCACATATAAATCATAGATTAAACAAACCTGCCTCATACATATAACACCTACTGATTAAAATTTAGTTCATATAAATACTGGACATATATACCATAACCGATAAATGCTTTTCGACTTATTACGTATAGAGGCAGTATGTATTGATAACGGAAGAATAAGAACATAACCGCCATAGAACTGTCAAAACTGTAACCTAACCTAACAAATACGAAATTTCTTTTCTTCCAACAGGGTAGTTTCCTCTGTAGTTTTAATATTTTTCGTTTTTGATTCACAATGAGGAAAACACCTATTCTTTTACGCCAACACATAGGATGGCACTTCACGAAGCATTGGGTAGTACAAGGCAAGCGAAAACCTCTAGACACTGGTGCAGAGGAGATTTTGAAACAAAAAGGTATCCCCGTTTACAAACCTGAGGAATTGTTCAGGGAAAAGAGAGAATTCCAAAAGTAGGTTTCTTCTAGCTGTAAAAGTTGTGATTGTAAGTAATCATTTTCAGAGTTGAGGTAGTTGGATATATGGATAAACCAGTAGCTTTAGACAACACACATCCAGATTGGCATGATCGTACATTGCTTTCTTTCAAAGACAACAATGTATTGCTGGAAGGGCTTTCTCAAGCTCAAATAATCACAAAATCAGTTGAAATAAAGAAGGGTTTACCAGACAGTATTGAGTTGAGGGAATTGACAAAGGATGATAGAGAAGCTGCAGAAAGGCTCACTTTAAACTCTCAGCTTTTGGATGCTGAACAAAAAAAGTTGCCAAAAATCAAAGACCCTGCAAGGCCAGCATGGAATTTTCCAAGGACATATGGGATCACACAAAGCAGAAGAAAGTAAGTGTATTCTCTAGTGGACTCAGTAGTAGTAATTTCTGTATTATAATGAATATCCAATCAATACTGACTTTAACTGTTAGTAAACAGAAAATACAAAAATTTTCACATCAAACCATAATGAAAAGGCAAGTAAAAATGCATAATGACTGTGTACTCAAGAAAAATATATTTAAGAATATAAAATGAGCTCTCTGGAGTCACATTGAAAGGTATGCTGAAAGTATATCTATTTTTATTTATAAAGGGAACAATGGAATCAACCTGATTTGTTGATTTTCAATTCAATATATTCCATTATTAAGTCTCCAGGAATCAAATTTAAATACAATAATTGTTCTTCAGTCACTTTATAGTATGATAGAGAAAAAACAATAAAATAAAGTGAGTACTTTATCCTGTTAAGAGTCTTGAATAGGTATATCACCTTGCCTAATAAAAAAATGACTTGAATCACATTAAATTGTTATCACTTCCATCTGCACAGCACAAGGTTGGGGACTCCACTTTTCAGTTCAATCTAGTGGAACTTCACAACTCAATGTGACCTAAGAGGTTCTTCCTCCTGCTTTTCAGTGTCCTGTGAAATGCATTATGAGGTCTGTTCCTTTGTATTGCTGAACTTGGTTTTTGTTCCATAGTTGTCTCTGGTCATGGCATAATGTAAACAGAGGAAGTCATAGAAAAAAATCAAGTTTAGCAGGTAGAGCAAACACAAACAGGCCTATGATTATACTACTAATCAGCTACACAAATGAATAAATAAATCAAATTGAAGAGGAAAGTACAATTTGAATCTTGAATTCGCTGTCGCCAAGGTCATTAGATGACATTGCATGACATTCAAAACAATGGAAAAACATCCTAACATTCCTGCTAAAATTGAACTAGAATTTAACTCCTGCATAGATTGAGCTCTTTTCTACTATTAACAAGGGTGAGGAAACATCTCCTTTTTATCAAAAGTAAAAAGCTTTTATTTAACTTGCAATGTATGTATGGATGTATGTATGTTAGTTCAGGTGGAATCTTTTTGAAGAAGTTATCTTCAACCAATTGGCTGACATTTTTAATACACCTTTAGTTTGGATGACAATGCATGATAAGGTGTGTGAAGTTATTCTAAATCCAATATGTTATTTTTAATGCACTTCTACAATTCGCGAAAATCACGAAGTGTGCGGCCTCTGGTGGCTAACTTTACAAGTCTCGCGAGTATGAACAACAAATACGGCGACCATTGTTTTGAGTTTCTGTGTTTTATTTGAAAATAATTTATTTGTTGAAGTGCATATTCCAGAACCTCATTTTTCCCTGATGAAAAAACTGGAATTATTGCATGAACTTTTATTGTTTACAATGAAGAAGCCAGTACCTACCTTATAATAATATAATATATACATTTTCTGAAGCACAGTTAGAATCCTTGTATAAATGTTGGTTGCAATGATTTGATCTTGAGAATTACTCCAAGTCTTCAATTGCTGGAGATCCTTGTTCATGTAAATCAATGATATTGTTCCTTCTGAGCAGCCTTTCCAACCGTATCTTCTTTTCCCAGCCCCTTCACTAGAATTCCATCTCCTTCATAAAAGCCAGTGATATTTCTTGATGAATTCAATTATTTCTTCATATCTATACCATATTGTTGTAATAGCTGATTGCTTATATGGCTACATTCCAGTCCATGCAAGTGTTGAGTGGACCATTCCAACCATTCCATTTGTTTGAAAACTGTGGATTTGTAGTGTGATATCAATGATGAATACCACCATTGTCCACATCAAAATGGCAATTTCTCTGCAATTTCACGAAGTCAACTCATTATTCACTATTTTGCAAAATTATTTTGAAATAACCAATTTGCAATGAGTGCATACGGCAATGTTTTTGTTGTTCATACTCAGTTTGAAATTTGACGTTGATTTGACGTTAAATAGAGCCATCTATTGGTTCGTGATTTTCGCGAATATGGGTATCTCGAAAAATAATGTGACGTCATTCAGAATCCAATAAGGCAGACTATCCAAGATGGCGGAATAGTTATTTTCAATTCACTTCTACAATATGTGTATCAAATGAAAAGGCTCGTTGAGAGCAACTCGGAAAATAATATGGCGTCATTCTAAATCCAATATGGCAGACCATCCAAGATGGCGGAATAGTTATTTTGAATCTACTTTCACAATATGGGTATCAAATGAAACGACTCATTGAGAGTAACTCGGATAATAATGTAACGTTATTCTAAATCCAATATGGCGGAACTTCCGAGATGGCGGAATAGTATTGTTATTCATGCACTTCTGCAATATGGGTATAAAATGATAGGGCGAGAATAATTAGAAATAATGAAAACATCATTCTAAATCCAATATGACACACTAAGTCTGTGCAATTTCCAGCAAAATATAGTCACCTGCAATATGGGTATAAAATAAAAGGGCTTGCCGAGAATAATTAGAAATAATGAAACATCATTCTAAATCCAATATGGCACACTAAGTCACGGAACCGCGGAACAAAGAATGCTGCCAATTTTATTATGTTGCTAGCAGCCCGAAGACTTCCGGCTATGTGTAACCTGACTCAACAAATTCCAATTAGCAATATTTATGGTCTCAAAGTCATTTCTACAAATGTTCATAAAATGAACAACAATGGTAGATGACTAGAGTGTTGCTTTCCTTCCATGTGATCTAGATGGCGTTAAACCCGTCTGGCACACCTGTGCCCACGAAAGATTCCTCTCAGACCATAAATATTGCCGATTGGAATTTGTTGGGCCAGCTAACGCATAGCCGATGGTCTTCGGACTGCTAGTTGGAGACTACCCTACACTGATGTAAGTCATGGAGCTCGAAACCGGTCTGTAGGTTTCGTTGCGTTAACCTGGCTAAATCAAAATCTATCGGCATTCGGCAAAGAAACCTTGCATTTTGCATTAGTATTCGTTCATTCGTATCGATGCATAGATTTCGGGAGGATGTAATTCAATGTTCTGCGTTGTTCATTTTATGAACATTTGTGGAAATTACTCCGAGCTTTTTTGTTTTTATTTGACCCCTAGCTATTCCCCGTCCCCTTGTAAACGAGGTGGTCTCTGTTAAGCAATTAACTTATCTTGATCACTAATTTATTAACCTGTCTTAAAACTACCTCATCTAATATCATTCTAATTTCCAACAAAATGACAAGTCGGCAAGTAGGTTCTTGAATAAATCGTATTGAAATGCCACATAATCATTCACAATATGTCATAATCAACTTACCTTTTATATCTGAAGTCCCTGCTAGCGGCTTGTGGCACATCCACATGTATATGCATCGCACCAGTAAAATATCTGAGCTTGCATTCTCTTCAATCAAAGTCCATTACTCTACTTTGGGACACTCTTCAGTTATTATTTGAAACAATGAATCGTGTTAAATTTACTCCCAATCTCAAATAATCCTAGAAATGGATTAGGAAGGAGGTCCATAAATCAAACTATTCGGTTAACTAACTGAATTAACTATGCTTATTATCAGATGGACAATAAATGAGTGAAAGTGGATGAAAATAGGATCTGGACCTAGATTAGATTAGATTTGGAATGGGGCCTTCGGGCTATCTGCCTCCACACTGCGACCTTTTCAGATCTATTGTGCCTGCCCTCAAAATGGATTAGAGTTCTTCGGCTAGCCCCGCCTTCTCTATGAGACTCCATAGGCTAGCTTTCAGATCTCCTGTGTATCTCTGGGCTCCTGGTTTTTCCTCACCCAGCGTAAGGAACCTTAGTCTTGACAAGCCCTCACAGTGGCAAAGTATGTGTACTGCTGTTTCTTCCTCTTCTTGACAGAACCTGCACAGCAGTTCTTCAGTCATACCTATCGTACTCATGTGTTTGTTGAGCCCTGTGAGAAGTCCCACTAGTATTCTAGTTGAACTTCGTTTCTGGCTTAGTAGATATTCTGTGAATGTTGGCGATGGTTTTTTAATAAACTCTTTTGCCTGTCTCATTCCTGGCGAGTTGTTCCACCATTCTTGAGATTTAGTTTGCATCCATGATTTGATACTAGTCTTTTGTATAGCTTTCGCAATACCACAGAAGGGTTCTGGGCCATTAAGAGCTTTGTTCGCTCCTGCTCGGGCAAGTGAATCTGCCTCTTCATTGCCCTCGTACCCTGTATGTGCTGGTACCCATGCTAGAGTCAATCTGTTCTGACTGCCCAGTGCATTTAGGGTTTCTAAGCAGTCCCATACTAGTTTTGAGTTAACTTGCATAGAGTTGACTGCTTTGATTGCCGCCTGGCTATCTGAATAGATTGCAATAGTTTTGCCTTTAAACTCTTGCCTTATCAATTCTTTCACGCAATGATGTATTGCAATAATTTCTGCCTGAAACACCGTCGCGTATTTGCCTAAGCTCAGTGAGATTCTTGTCTTTGGCTTGGCCCCATAAATACCAGCTCCTGATCCTTCCTCAGTTTTGGAGCCGTCCGTATAGACAGCAATGTCTGCATTGATAGGAGGTCCTCCTTTCCATGCCTCTCTGTCCGTTATACTTATTTCAAAAGTTTTTTCAAAGCTATATTTTGGAATTATGCCATCCGTTGGCATCCCCATGACCTAACTAAATGACATAATACTGACTTGATATTTACTGCATTCAAAGACTAGTTGAGAAATAGTGATGATTGAATTTTAACCGTAGAGAACCATGGTAATTGAGTTATCAACTCGAGTAGTTGATAACTCTTCAACTCATAATGAATGTAAAGATTTCAAATAACAGATTACTTTAACAGCGTTCCTCCTATCAAGTGACACACCTGAACAGAACAAAACTCAAAAACGAACTTCCTCAAAATTGTGACATTACTTTTGTATAGTTAGTGTATCACGTGACATGAGGAAAGCGAAAATCCAGCGCCAAATTGTATCTGACCAATCATGTGATGTTATTCCATCGTTTGATTGGTATTTAGAAATCTTTCAACTTGCATCCATCTAAAGGGAACCATAAATAACATTCAACATGTTTCAAACCCAACAAGATTCACTTGACAATTTGTTATTCTTCCAAGATAATATTTGTAGTATATTATGGTTGCCTTTGCAAGGGGAAAAAGCAATAAACCCAGATCCTTTACAGTATGTGTTTGAATAAAGAAAATTTTTGGACCCCGTTCAGATGGACCGAGCTAACTTTGTCTGTTTTACAATCCAAAAATGATATCGGGTTGTTGGAAAAAAGGCATAGTAAAAAAACCAACTATATCTCTCGACACCATGTCCTTATTCATCTAATACTAGTATGACAATAGTTACATAAATCTATAAGTATTCTGGTCGCAACATATCAAAAGTAAATCTATTCAAATTCATTTGCGGTTATAATGGTCAACTGAGGGCTTTTAGAGACCTGTGCTTCATACCTACTCGTTTTATGAGGTTTTTAAACTATTATTATGGTTCGGCTCTCGATTTCGATCTACTGTGAAATATACTGGGCGATGTAATTTTAACCAGCTTAGGATTGATTCGATATTCTAATGAATGATGAAAACTTATTTATAGTAGCTTTCTTACACCGTTTCCAGCAAACGCATAACATCAAAACTGCTCAGCCACATCGAGTCCACCAGCGACCGGCGGCTAACTAAAGAACGCCACATATTCGAGAACCTGCCGTTCTCCTTCTCTTTCGAGCGAAGCGGCAACCTGGTGCAGCTGCGACTGAGCGGCGATTTCGTGCTCGCGTCGTCAACGCCGCTAAAGCCTGTCACGAGCGAATCGACGGATGACGTCACGTTGCCGGACATCGATCCGATCGATCCGCTGATCACACTGATGCCGGAGAATATTTATCGAACGGAGAACGTTTATCGTGAGTAATTTTGAGAAGGGAGCTTGAATAGGGAAGTTTCCTTCAGATGAATTTTCATTAAATAAGTCCGGGACTCTCCAGTTTTATGTCCACGATGTACAAAATGGCGACCGAAGTCCAAGTCGTTCTCAAACGGCAAACTGTGACGTACATTCTGAATATAGTCTGAAAATATCTGGTGGTGAAGAATATAGCTAGCGAATAGCTAAAGAATAGCTAACGAATGAAAAACGATAAAAAAAAAATAGAAGAAGTAAAACTGTAAAATTAAAACATACATAACCACAAATGCACTCGGAGCAGGAATGCAGAAGGTAGTTGGCTTCAGTCTGACAGGTTATGGTTTTGTTATTTATGCATTGAAATATCTCGGATGGAGTTGGATCCTAAGCGGAAATATCATTGAATCAATGAATCACTATCGGCTACATTCAATATGATACTATCCTTCCTAATTTACTGCCATCGGTCAGAACAAAATGAAGCCGACACCCATGGCTCCTTCCTCTTGTTGTGCCTGCCAGTATTTTGAGTGGTGTGGACGGACTCGAAGTATCAGGCGCGGTTGCAAGATATAATTTATTTATTTATTCAATTATTTATTTATACTGATTACAAACAGACTGTGTCTAATAAAATGTATCAGTTAGGGAGGTAGAGAGAATGGAATTAACTACAGCTAAAACTAAAAACTATATACATTATACATTTGAGAGACTCAAGTCACATCACAATTAGTTTTTCCTAGTTTAACATTACATATTAAAATAACGAAAACAATAAAAAATATTAAAATAGTTAACTTGAATATATCACAGGTGAGAGAGAAGTGAAGGTTTGGAGATATTCCAGATATCAATTTCACATGTTTTTAAAAAGTTGTTGAAGGTTGTTGAGCAGCTGTTGATAGGAGAACTCACAGTACATATTTTGAAAACAGTATTTTTGGATCTCAGCCTTATATCAGGTACATTTATGTGAATATTCATCAATAAGTCAGGTACATTAATCAAATTATGTAAGATATCAAAAATAAACAAGATCTGAATTTTCTCACGCCGTTTGCTCAAAGTCTCTATGTTGAAGTCAATCTTTTGGTGTTCATATAATACTCTCATTGGATATACACCATATTTTTTCAAATGCATAGATCTCAGAAGTTTCTTCTGAATCTTTTCAAGCATATTAGAATATAATTCTGTCTCAGGATTCCATATAATACAACAGTACTCCAACTTTGATCTATGAGTTAAAAAGCATTATGCAAGTTTGATACTGAAAATCCGTACTGGATCTCATTATAAAACCTAGTTTTCTATAGTACTCCCTGCTGAGGCACTTGACATGTTCATTGAATGAAAAATTCCTTGTAAAAAGTACACCCAGATCTCTGATTTCATCTAATTCCAGATCAACATCGTTGATGGTATAGTTTACAAGGAATTCTTTTTTTCTTCTTGTATATGAGACTATTTTACATTTCGATTCATTTAGTGAAAGGTCATTATCATTGCAATACTTAGTAATCTCATTAATAATACATTGAAATGTTTTTGTATCCTCTACTGAGATTATTTTCATAAAAACTTTCAAGTCATCTTTCTCATCTGCAACTTTCCTACAAAATAGATCCGTTCTATTAAGGAACGATTTCATTAGCAAACAAATGACTGACAAGTTATGAATAACAAATTGTAATATAACGATAGTGAAAAATTATGGATCTTATGGCAAAATATCATAATTTATCTTTATTAGAAATCAACTTCAATCAGCCAATGGGAGATTTATGGGAATTATTCATAATACTTGACTAAGTAGGTTTGAAGAACCTATTATATGCCATTGCAGTTATGATACAGTTATTATGAATTCAAAGAATAATTTCCGGAAATTTAGACATATTTATGATAATAATAATAATAATAATAATAATAAATCGTCTTTATTTTTTCTTTGGTACAAAGTAGGCGAAGTTTAGCTATTGCTACTCTTACACTTAACCTAAATTGTACAATCGACGGAAAATTTAGCTAATACAGACATTCATGAGGTAATAAAGAACATAATCATCGTAAGTCGAATAAACAAAAGTAATTTGTCAAAGTATAACTAGGTTATAGAGTTTCAAGTCTTAATTTATATTGGGGATTCACAAAATTTTGCTTTCAGCAATTTCTTGATATTAAATTCAGATAAATGAAGGTGATTGATGAGGAGTGAATTGTAAAATTTTACAGCCTGATAGGTGAAGGATTTCTGGAACATGACTGAACAGTGACGAGGAACATTAAAGTGATGTTTATTTCTCACTTCTAATGAATGTAAAGATGACCTTGGAGTTAATTTACAATAGAGAGATAAAGGAATCCTGTTCTTTATTATTTTATATAGAAAGACACAAAAGTTGTATTTAGAACGATTAGCCATTGTAAGCCACTTCAGTTCCCTCATTTTATTGGAAACATGATCGTATTTTTTGAGGGAGAAGATGAATCGACAACAAAAGTTCTGTACTTTCTGAATACGATTCTGATCAAATTTAGTGAGTAAATCACCGTAAACAATATCACCGTAATTGAACCTAGACAGGACAAGTGATTCACTCAGCAATTTCCGTATGGGTTGATTGAGGTAGTGCCTATGTGGATAGATCATTTTCAAAGAGCTGAATGATTTTTTAGACAGTGATCAGCAACGATACTTGCGTCTAAAACACCACATTTTTTTACATATTCAGGATTACTAATAAAAACAGGATCTAACAGGGTCATTGAGCCCTTGAAGATTCTTGTAGGTTCATCAATGAGTTGAGTGAGACCATATGTTTCTAGGGAGTCAGTCAGAAGACTATTTGTGAGCAAGTCGGTATTCATGTCACCCATACAAATTATATCATCGACAGTGGGAACAATTGAGGACAGAGAAGTATCCAAATGCTCAATAAAGGACAACAAATTGCCTAGGGGGTCGATAAATATTACCAATTCCGAAAGAAATGTTTTTTATTTTCACCTCGATCCATATTTGCTCACAGTGTTCATTTATGGTACTATTAGTAATTAGTAAATTGCATCTGAAATTATTTGAGATATACACACCAACTCCCCCACCTCGTGTTTGACGATCCAGTCTATAAAAGTTATACCCAGGAATCGAAATATTTTCAGTATCAATACTATCATTCAGCCATGTTTCAGAAACACCCACTATATCAAAATCATTCACCAGAGTCTTGAAATCATCAAAATGAGCTGCAAGTGATCGAACATTCAAATGACATAACTTCAAGTTTTTAACCATCTCAATGAAAATTACTAATCATTAGTGAATCACCCTATATATATATATATATCTATAAACAGAAATAATATCAATAAGATCCTAAGGAGCGAAAATCTTTAAATGGTAAAAAATATATAGTATTCAAATGCAAGTTCACAAAGCAAGAAATAAATCAGGAACCTAAAAAAAGTATGTTTTTGTTTGTAATTTATCAGTCGACTTGGGTCACAAAAACAGTTCAGTTTATTTCAATATTTATTTTGGAAACTCTCAAACGATGTGATAATGTGAGATAACAATAAAAATAAAAATTGATCGTGAAATGAAAAAAAGAATGAAACTTATAGATTATGGAGAAAAACCAGCACATAGTCTGCCGATTCGAGCTTATAACAAATTCAAGTACCTATGAATCGGTCATCCGGCCTAGTTACAGAGAGGGAGATTTAATTTGTCTGAGTTCGATATCACTTTTGATATAATGTTTTTTCCCATCGATCAAAATACATATTTTGCCGCTCTGGGTCCACACATTCCGTTTCCCGAAAATTTCTCTGGCATTCACATAAATGTCATACCTGGACTTCGTTAAATCTTCGGTGATTGTGACGCGGGATCCTTTCAACTTTTTTTTATTGGAAAGTACTGTACGACAGTCATCGGAAGATGCAAACTTGACAATAATTGGTTTGGTTATCCTCTTACCATCCTGGTTGGGTTTGATTCGATAACAACTAATAATTTGGCGATCATCCAGGTCGAGTGAGAGTTTATCGGTGAATATTTTTTGAACCACCTCCAGAATGTTCTCATTTTTAGTTTCCTTGATACCATACATTCGTAAGTTGGCAATCTTCTTGTCCTGTTGCATTTGATCCAGTTCGATTTGCAGTTTTTGATTGTTGTCGGCTAATTGGGTAATACGTTCATTCATTTTGTCTAGTTTGTTTTCCAGTTCGCCAACTTTTTCAGCAAGTTTTGTTGAGACTAGCTCTGATAACTTGTCAGAGAGGGAGTCCAGAAATGTATCGTCTTTGAAACACTCACAAATAATTAGTTTGATGTCATGCTTTTGATCCTTGGTGAAAACCATTTTTATAAGCAACGTCGTACTGGCACAGGGAATCTTATTCTAACTCTGTGTGAATGTGGATTTTCAGAAAGTACGTCATAGGAATGGTGGAGGAGCCAAGTTCCTCTTTTATTCATTTTTTTCTGAAGTGAAATTTCTTACGGAAAAAAGAAGAATTAGGTTCGTATATATTAATTTTTTACAAACTTCACAGTGACATAAAAAACCTCAATACAGGAAACTTCCCCATAGTGTGCCTCTATGAAATGTTGTGATGGTTTTTGTAAATTCAATTTAGGTTTATCATACTAAGGATCCCAGTTGTATTAGTTTCTTGCAACAAATATTCCGCTTCTTTTCAGCAATCAAGCCGACTGTTAAGAAATCACACCCGCATACTCTCTTCACGTTTTTCGACAGGGAAGAGGTAAGGAATCTGTATGAGGAAGAAGTGACGGATCAACAAATTTTCGGCAGATCTTTGATGAAAACATTCACTGCTGCCGCCAGTTATGCTAGACAGAGATACGGGGTGAGTAATTTATGAATGGAAAACATTTGACATTTTTGTTGTGTAAGGAAACCTGGTGTGATTTCATACACTGGCAAAAAGGCTACTATTTTTTGAACGAAAAGTTATTAAACTAACATCTGGCACAGCATTCACAGGTGGAGAGTTCCAAAGTGAGGTATCTTATCCTAGTTGCTTTGTTCCTGGAGTATCATAAAAAAACTTGAATTAGTATTTCCTTTCTTCAGTTGCTCCAAATATTCATTATACCCTACAGATATGGAAGAAAACATGGGTTGATTCTTCTAAGAGCAAATCTGTTCCTTAAAAAAAAACAAATGTAATGATATTCAATAGTTCATTATTAATTTGGAAACAGAACTGGTATAAAATCACTGCTTATACCAAACTCTTTAAGGCGACTCTGTCAATATCAACTAAGTAGTTTTTCGACTGCTTGATTGAATGAAACCGATAAAAGTCTTGGTCGTATTTGAGGAATGACGAATTTGATGTTATAAATTATCACTACACACGAATAATAGGTTCTTGCAAATGTAGGCCCTGAAATTCATAGACATCTGGGATAGTTTGCTTTGTTCCTGGAATATCCTAAAAAAACTTCGATAAGTGTGATATTTTTCTAATTGAGACATACATTATTCATTATAATTCACAAATTTGGAAGAAAACATCGGTGCACCCTTCTAAGAGCACATCTCCATTGAAACAACGACTGTTGCTTTTCATAAATCCCTGATAATTTGGAAAAGAACTGGTATAAAGCCACTGTTCATACCTAACTCTTGAAGGCGACACCCTCCTTTGTCGTACGAACGCCAAAGTTGATACTCTCCCCTCGTAAGGGTACCTGACGTGATTCCATACACTTATGATCGGTATTTTAGGAATGACAAATTTGATGTTCTGAAAACTTATCTTGAAACTCCATATTTCATCGATCTGTCTGCAATAGCATTCAAAGATGTAGAGTCCCGAAGTCCAGTGTCGTACACACGATCAATAGGTTCTGGCAAATATAGGCTCTGAGATTCATAGACATCTGGGATAAGTTGCTTTGTTCCTGGAATATCCTAAAAACACTTGGATTAGTGTGATGTCCTTCTGATTGAGCCATATTTAATTCATTATAACTGATAAATTTGGAAGAAAACATTGGTCCACCCTTCTGAGAGCACATCTCTATCGAAACAACGACTGTTGCTTTTCAAAAATCCATGATAATTTGGAAAAGAACTGGTATAAAACCACTGTTCATACCTAACTCTTAAAGGCGACACCCTCCTTTGTAGAGAGGCATTACGAACGCCAAAGTTAATACTCTCCCCTCGTAAGGGTACCTGACGTGATTCCATACACTTACATACATGAATGTCGACTAATTCTTCGACTGCTTATTTGAATGAAACCGATAAAAGTCGTTTTTTCCACAAACAAATATTCGAAGAAGAATGGCAAAGAATTGCACTGATCGGTATTTTAGGAATGACAAATTTGATGTTCTGAAAACTTATCTTAAAACTCCATGTTCCATCGATCTGTCTGGAATAGCATTCAAAGATGTAGAGTCCCGAAGTTAAGTGTCGTACACACGATTAATAGGTTCTTGCAAATATAGGCTCTGAGATTCATAGACATCTGGGATAGTTTGCTTTGTTCCTGGAATATCCTAAAAAAAAGTAGATTAGTATGATATTTTTCTAATTGAGCCATATATTATTTATTATAATTTACACATATGAAAGAAAACATCGGTCCACCCTTCTGAGAGCACCATCTCCATTGAACCAACGACTGTTGCTTTTCAATAATCTCTAATAATTTGGAAAAGAACTGGTATAAAGCCACTGTTCATACCTAACTCTTGAAGGCGACACCCTCCTTTGTAGAGAGGCATTACGAACGCCAAAGTTGATATTCTCCCCTCGTAAGGGTACCTGACGTGATTCCATACACTAACATACATGAATGTCGACTAGATTTTCGACTGCTTAATTGAATGAAACCGATAAATGTCATTTTTCCAAGAAGAAGTATTCGAAGAAGAGTGGCAAAGAATAGCACTATGATCGGTATTTTAGGAATGACAAATTTGATGTTCTGAAAACTTATCTTAAAACTCCATATTTCATCGATCTGTCTGGAATAGCATTCAAAGATGTAGAGTCCCGAAGTTCAGTGTCGTACACACGATCAATAGGTTCTGGCAAATATAGGCTCTGAGATTCATAGACATCTGGGATAAGTTGCTTTGTTCCTGGAATATCCTAAAAACACTTGGATTAGTGTGATGTCCTTCTGATTGAGCCATATTTAATTCATTATAACTGATAAATTTGGAAGAAAACATTGGTCCACCCTTCTGAGAGCACATCTCTATCGAAACAACGACTGTTGCTTTTCAAAAATCCCTGATAATTTGGAAAAGAACTGGTATAAAACCACTGTTCATACCATAGACATATAAAAAGAGGAGACGAAATTGTTTACATTTTGTCCCGATCCAACATCTTTTTCAGCAGAAGTCGATGATGACAAACTTCTGCGGATTGCCCTAGATCTACCGCCTGTGTTTAGAAACGATGGATGATTTTACCATACATTAATTGTATAATACGTTTTATGTACCTATATTCATTCCGTATGATTGTTCTTTGATTGAAATTTATAAATTCTGCTCTTGAAATTGTTCGGGTTTTCCTAATTTCATGATTATATAAAATTATAATGAATTATGGAAATAACTTTGGCAACGATGCATTAGCTTGTTTACTACGAAATTACGCAAAGTCATTCAATCATGTCATATTCCTACTTTACAGTGTTGCTGTGTTGTGTTTATAACCTTTTGTGTGTTTAAATTGATTTTCGGCGTTTTAGTGTTACAAAACGATCTAAAGACAATTATTATTATTATCTGTTATCATTAATCCACTATGGTTCGTCAGTGCGTGGTCTGTAATAAAGTTGACCATTCAAACCCTGAATTGGTATTTCGACGGTAAGTAAGGTTATGCATGTATCTTGTAACTTCAGCAGTGGTGTAGTTGTGGGGTATGTTATTCAACTGAGTCATATTGAATTTCACTTTTTTTTTTTTTTTTTTTTTTATCGATTGGAGCGCACGAAAGGGAATCCCTATAATGATGGATCAAAATCAGGTGAATACCTAAGCTACTACACGAATATTTTCCAATAGATATAATATAATATAATAGCATTGTCATTGTTATTAAATTGCCTTGCCTCTCGCTTGACAATATAATACACGGTGTTTCTTAAGTACGTCTTAAAAATTGAGCAGCATGTTGCTGAAGTCAAATTAAGAAGAAAAGTTCGTATAAACATATTATGTCCGCAAATTATTCGTTTCAGAGCTACATAGTGTCAAAGTTTGATTGTTACTTCGGTTTTTTGTGAATAAATTTAAAAACAGTTGAGGAAAATATAAAGGAAAATTATGTGATGTCTGATGCGTGGAAACTCACATGTTATGTAGAAGATATTGTATCTTACATTTCCGGATTTGTAGTTAAAGGTGTGAAAAAATTTGTAGACTGTTCGAAATGCTTGAACTGTTTGGAAAGTGAAGATGCAACTTCTCAGTTACAAAAACGAAAAACTTATGGGAGGCTTTTGAAACCATCTAAATTTGTGGTGGATCTATGCAAAGAAGGGGAAAAATTTTTCAGATTTTTTAATAACACAAGGAATTTTCAATCAAAAAAATAAAAATTTATCAAATATATTAATTACTAAAACTTTAAATAATGTATTCACTTCTGTATTCGAAATATTTGGAGACCATATTTATGATGATGAAGTTCTATCAGAACATTCGATTCCTGTTTCGAAATTCATTTTGAAATCTTATTTCAACATAAGAATTTATTATGAAACCATAAGAAAACTAGATGCAAGCAAAACAAATAGATCTAGAAGTATCAATACAAAAACAATATTATTCAGGAATGAATAAATAGGGGTATTCCGGAGCCCTCGTATCTGACTTCGTATATTTACGATAATGGCCTACGTATTGTTACGAAACCTCAAACACGGGAACGACCCATGGATAGCAATGTAAACTGTCAGTTTATTCCAAAACTTCCAGTGCGAAATTGAAAAATTCGAATTCATCATCTGTCTTGGAAACAGAGCTAGAACTGTATGACTGAAAATACAATTTCAATAATTCAAGTCCTTCTCCAAGATTGACACATAGTTTCTGTTCTTATTCTTGCCATTTTTAAAATACCTTTGTCCAAATCAAAATTCTCAATACCAGAGATTAGTTACAATAACCAGAGGTATTTATATTGTGCTTTATGCTCAGGCCACGCAGCTCAAACAATAAAAATTCGTTGATCATAATTTTGAATAATAACAATAACCCTAACCTCACCACTTGAAACACGGGACACGGGACAAAATTCTGTCAGAACAGTTTCGTAAGAACGGCAATTTTGTAATCTTACACAAGAAAATGCTAGTGTAAAGTTACGAAGGACCGCGTATCCTAATCGACCAATCAGATTAGTTTGCTGAATACGACGATACGAAAATACGATAATACGAAGCATTATACGAGGACCGGGAATACCCCTATTATTTTGTAAATTGTGTATATGATGTACTTATTCATGGTATTATGTCGATATAATATTCCAGTAATAAATGAAGCTAGTTTGATCGTATTGTCTACATTTCAACATCCCTCCCAAAGAAACCTACGGCACTGGTAATGAAATGTGTGAAATTGACGCGCAGCCTACAGCGTTGCCATTTTTGCATTTTTTTGAAGCCATCTCTTTCTAACTCATTTGAAACTTCGGCAGTATGTATGATTGTAAACAAATGGTGTTTTATGAATGAAATGTTATGTCTCCCCTCTTTTTATATGTCTATGGTTCATACCTAACTCTTAAAGGCGACACCCTCCTTTGTAGAGAGGCATTACGAACGCCAAAGTTGATACTCTCCCCTCGTAAGGGTACCTG